CGTGGCCTGAACTCACTCCTCCGACGCTCGCAAAGACTCCGAGATGTACTCCGTACTCTGTAATAACTCGCAGTGCTTGCTGTAAGGGTCCGTGGGGAAGTTGTCTCCAAATCCGAGTCATTTCAACCACTGAATATGACGCAGGCAGTGCAACCTCCGATTCTCGTTGATTTCGGCCAATGTCCATCAATTCCTGGACGAGTAAAACCCCATCCAGCCACAGATGAAAGATCTGCTCTGAAAACTTGACAACTGAGAGAAATCGACAGAGGTCGACGTCGACAACCCCACCGCACCTCATGTCTGCGAGGAAGCCCCGGAACTTCAGCAGCGAGATGCCACACTCTAATGGAGATTGGGGGGTCAATGGGCCCAGCATCTGTATCTGGATCCGTGCAGCGTACGGATACCCAAAGCAACGCGAAGCGAAGCTTTCTTTGAAGCAGAGGCCAGATGGGCGACTGGGCCGAATTGAGAACATTGTGCAGGAAGAGGATCCAGAAACTTCAGCAAGAGAACTGGTCGGGTGGAGCTCTTCCACTCCCAATCCCACGATGCTCTGCTCCAGAACACATCCAGAAGCCTGGAGACTGTGGCCGTTACGGAACCGCTTTGGCTTGGCATTTGCAAATAGGTTGCTCAGAGGGCCCGCCCAAGACGGCGCTTCAACGTTTGCGGTCCAATTTCTGTGGTGCTGAGAGATATTCCAATCAAGACAACAGGCTGAAGGGCCTGCCGCCTCGCCCGAGTTGTGGATAGAACCGCGGTATTCTGTGTAAGTGTGGCGGGGATCCCAGCAGGCAAAACCGTTGCGCAGCATTGACAATGGGGGAAGCCAATGCAGCTGCAGTTCCAGCTCCAGCTGGCGCTGGCCACCCCTCTTCCCCCTTCTTCTTTGCCACAGCCTCGCGACGCCAGTCTGTTCGTTCGCTGTCGCCGAGCGCTAGGACACAGGAGACGTGAAGAGTCCCCGGAATCTGGCCGACTCCACAGCCTCTCCCTCTCCCGTCCGCCCACTGCACTTCGGTGGTTTTTTTGGCTGTTGGCTTCGGGCGTGTTCCTCTTCTGACAGCAGCGTCCGGCCGAGGCTCAATGCCGGCACCGACGAACCGACCTTGCCTTTGACGGGGAGGCGAAACGCTCTTAGACGAGACCGCGGTTGCATTGCTGACGGAGCGGAGGATATGAGACGCGAGCAACAAAGACCAGAATGCGCTCTCTGTCAAACCTGCGCCACTTGTTTCCGTGGCACCACGAGGGCAACGACGACGACGACGATGGCCGTGACGACGACGCCGCCGCCGCCTCCCAACGGCAGAAAAGAGAGACACCGACATTTCAGTTGCTGAGTACTTGTTTATCCCTGTAAGATGATAGGTTGACTGAGTCGGTCCACTGCCAACTCTGTCCTGTTCGCGGCCGGCAACATCAAGATTCGATAGGCTTTTTGCAGGTAATGGTGGGTACTCTAGCTGCAAAGTAAGCGATAGGCTTGGAATGTTGGGGTACCTATTCGTACGCAGTAGATACAGATTCAAGAAGGGAAAAAAAAAAAAAGGAATTCTCCATGAGACTTGTCGCTGCCCGGTGGCTGTCCGTCACCCCTTTGCCCAATGGCACGGTCGGTGGCCGGGACAAGATAGTCCAGGATCCCAGGGCAGCCGTTTCGCCGCCATCAGAGATGATCCCTACAGATCAATGGCTCGCGTGTGAGCGACGTGGTCTTCCCCGGATTGAGGTTCAAATGAGACATGTCGTCGTTAAACGAGCCTCATCTCTCTCCAGAGGGTCCTTTTGAAAAAGCAGGGGGCTTGATCAACCAGAGATATGTCGAGCAGGAAGTTCCAAGGGCATCGTTGGTTTCATCGATAACAGAATCAGGTGAGACTATCCGAGGGGACGGAACCGGCTATGGGCGTTGTGGATTGTCGGTGAGTTTTGGATTGGGGTCGCGTCGGCAATGATCCTCACGCCCCGGAGGGCGGGCAGCCAAGCAGTCGACGGCAATCGTAAGATGTGAATTATGAGGCCTTTCTCCCCGTCTAGGGGGGGCATTTCACGGAGGCAGAGCGAAAGAAAGGCCAAGCAAATCTACGAGAAGTCGTTCGAGTCGGGCCACAAAGAGACAAGGTAACAAAGTTAACACGCAGAGAGAGTTGAACCGTTTCGCTGGGAGGCTGACTGAGCCTGTGGTGGTTAGGCTGCGGTACGTACCGAGTCTTGCAAGGAGGAGGGCAGGAGCGAATCGAGATAACGGATCCACTCTTTTGCGAGAAGAAGCACAGACGCGCTTTTCCCAAAATGGCATCCTTGCTGCATGCCATGCTTCGATATCCCTGCCATTAATCAATCGATGCAGGGTCTTCATTGCTCATTGACTGTCGTGTTTGCGCCGTTATCGCCAGTCTCTGATTGGTTGCTTACTCAATTCGTGGTGACGCACTCTTGCCTCAGGCCACAACGTAGGGGTGTAAGGCCACCAACAGACCTCGGGGCGTGCAGGGAACAAGCTCCGATTCCGGGTCCATCACCTCCTACACGTCCTCCACGTCCGCTGTCGAAGCGCGTTCGCGGGCTGGCAAACGCCTGGCAAGCGAACAGGCAGCTGGCGCATGCAGGGCGTTCGACATGTGACGTCGACTCTGCCGGCATCCCTCGTCGGCGCAGTCGGTGACGGCTCGCTCACCGCCTAGTGACATTCCAACACTTTACAACGAATCGTTTCTCACACAGTAGGTGCAGACGCAGCAACAGCTGTTATCACCGTACTACTTTGCTTTTTTTCATGCCACCTTATCCCGGCCGGGGGTTCGATGCCGCTCAAAAAAGTGTTTGAAGGTTGCTATCTATTGCTTTCCGGCATGGCGGAGGTTCATCCGTCAATAATCTGAACCTCCAACCCGGTTCCCCGAATAGGGCAATTGAGAGACAGGAGAGAGGGAGATTGCTGGACAACGAACGGGACGACAGTAACCTGAAGTTCTGATCCGGATAACACGCCCCCCTCGACCCGATACCTCAATCCGACACCGATGCCAGCGATGACAACCCACCACCACCACCATTAAGGCCAAGAGGAAGTCAACGACCGTTCCATGTCAAGGTGCGTCGTGATGGTGTTGTCGCCGCCGTCGTCGATCCGTGCAACAACCCTTTCCCTCGCCTAAACTGCGCCGCCCGGTCGATCTGCTGCCCCAACCATTCTTCCCCCAGACTCTGATGTAAGGGCGAGAGGCCTTGCGTTCCTAAACGCTTCCCAACTTCCGCGACGTTCAAGGGGGATTTTCATGATCGTCCGCACGGGAAGGGAAGGAATGTGCGTGAGACGGAAGCGCCAGCTCCATGCTAGGCTAGCAAACTGTTTCCCCGCGGAGACGCAACCCAGTCACCACTACCCGAATTCCCAATGTGAACTGAGACTCAACCCTCCAAAAAGGCTGTCCGACATGAACCCTGCCACCGGCATGATGCCCGGCTGGCCCGCGCTATCGTTCCCGACGCCGGTCGCACCGGCCGAGAAGTTAGAGGGAGCCTCGCCCCCTTTTCCATATTGAACATCTCTTCTTCTTTCTATCAGACGCTTCCTTCCTTCCTTCCGGGCCCCGGGCCCCGGGCCCCGGGGGGAGGGTGCGCAAATCCTCGAGAAGAAAACGCCAAATGACGTACCGGAGGGTTGCTCTTCTTCCGCTCTAGGAAGGCTGACACGGGATCGCTTTGGGGTACATCGAGATTCCGACACAATGGCCCAGTGTGGTTCCCACGCCCTCCCCATCACTTCTTTGACTCCAAAGAGACTCCAACTCTCTCCCTGGCTTTTCAGCCTGTCTCACTGACTCAACATGCTGGACAATTGACGACAAGAAAGAGATAAGGGGAACAAGGAAGCAAAATCCCGCGATTGTCGGTTCCTGTGGTGGTGGTTTGGCTTTCGCAAACATGACGTCGGTGCTAAACACCAAACCCCAGGCGCGGTCCTCGACGATCAGGATAACCCCCGTACGGAAAACATTGCCAGGAATCCCTAAGCCTTTGATATTGATGCCCGAGGGAAAACAACAGTTACGTATGCCAGAAATCTTGGAGAGAACTGACGCACAGAAGGTGTTTTGGCCCATTTGATTGTCAGTCTCAAGCTTTGTCTAGGTCGTTATCAGAAAGTGTGAGAGTAAAGAGGGAGCCCTGACAAGCTGACGCTCGACAATTGTTATTGATTGGCTCTGCATCCTCAAAGCATTGTTTCCCGATTGCCTGAGCGCGAAAAAGTGACAGGTAGGATTCTCTCATGGGAATTGACCAAACCTTGATAACGGAAGTTCCGTCCGCTGCTGTGCTGCATAGAATTAAGGTTCATCTAATGGCCTCGTGTTTCTCCATGTGTGGTGTGCACGGCCGGAATTAGTCTAGAATGTCTGACCCTGAAATGAGCAAGTCCGCCCAAAATGCTAATTGCTAAGACTGCCGGGAGTTTGGTAGAATCATACCCATGGAAACTGCGAGTTTCTCTTATTGCACCCACAGGTTTGATCTCCTGCACAAGGCAACCTATATGCGCTGCCTACTTAATCAGCCCAAGTGAAATCGCAAGGCTTTGATTTCAGATGGGACACGAGTAGTAGTCCGGCTTGTTGATCAAGACGAACTTCCGTCTGTCAGGGCCCAGACAACAAGATCAGGATTACGCTCCGCGGTGAACGTCGCATGTACACGCCTTACAATATTAGAAGTTACTCTCCAATAGATGCCCCATTGTCTCTAGACGGCGGCTTCTACTCACTTATTCTGTTGTAATTACTCATGAGAAGGAGACGGATGAGGTCTTATGATTGAACACGGCGATATTGATATACGAGTCCACAATGAATCCCGAAAAGTCGATATTCAGAGCGAAGCTGTTCTGGCCACTGCTCGCAACCAGATCAAATGCAGACGCCGTGGCGTTACTGCTGGTTGGGAGGTACCGATGCTGTGCCGCCGAGCACGATATCTTGATATACCTCCATTTAAGCCTCGGCATGCAAGCGCGTAATGCCTCTGCTTGTCCACTTTGCGAAGACGACTGTTCCGTTTGCTTCCTAGATTAGTGGAGGTCTCCAGCCAGCTTCAAGGAGCGTTGGGAAGTCAGCATCGTTAGCATAGAGACTGAGAAACGAAAGAATATATTGCTGAAGGAGTAGATAAGATCGGTCATCTCTTGTCCGGCATTGTGAAGACTGAGTACTCCTGAGGGATGTGTTAATGGGAGGAGAGTAGTCGTCATTGCAGTATCTATAAGGGAATCGCATCATGCAATCCTGTGTGTCGAGACTATAGCAAAGCTCAGCCGTCGTGACACCACGCTCCGGTCTGCTGAAGAGTTGAAATACACTGACCAAGGGCGAGTAAAGTCGGCGTCAACTTCAGTTAGTTTCTCTGGGTATGGAAGGAAAGCAAAGAGCCGTCCAAGTCTCGGTCGAAATTGGTCTGAGGATAGGCAAACATTTTAATAGCTTACACTGATACGAAAGTCTGTTACTTGTCTAAAGGGAAAGAGCATAAGTTTCGTTTGAATGCATTTATCAAGTTACTCTTGATTGATGTATTGGTTAGGAGTTGATCAAGTCTGAGGTGGACTGCTAATGTCAGATACTTCTGTTTAACATCTTTCCAGGATATCGATTCTCCCTGTAAGGAACTTGATCAATCTGAATTTGTCTTGAATTCTCCTCATCAACCCCTCATCACCACCCTTTTCTGTGTCAAGCTGAACATTTTAACTAAGAAAAGCTACTACTCTTCCATTGTCCTGCTACTATTCCACAACTCCCGGAAAACGCCCCCTTCTTGATCCTTCAGCACCCGCGGTGCCCCTTTCTCAACCACACTGCCTTTATCCATGACCACGACCGTATCACAGTCCAACACCATATCCAGGCGATGAGACACCATGATAATCGTATACCCCTCAAACTCCCTTCGAATGATATCCTGCATAACAAGATCCGTAGCCCGATCAACACTCGAAGAAACTTCATCAAGAAGAAGGATCCCCCCATCAGTACCACCACGGCTCTTCACCCGCCTCCGCAAGACCGCACGAGCCAGACAGAACAGCTGCTTCTGCCCCTGGCTGAAAGACTCGGCGGTGAGATCGGCACCTATACCGCCTCGCTCTTGTACCCCCGCGAGCAGTCCAACTTGCTCCAAGCCCTCGAGACACTCAACCTCGGTCGCCGCGTCAAACGGATCTAGGTTTTCTCTCACTGTCGACCCGTTAGGGAGGAAGATTGCGTCCTGAGAGACGGCTATGATACGGCGCCGCAGAGTGTCTCGGTCGACCTTGTCGAGCGGCACCGAGTCCACCACGATACCACCCGCACCTCCGGGCAAGGTCTCGATAAGACGAAGTAACAGGAGAATGAGCGATGATTTCCCGCTCCCTGTTCTTCCACATATAGCTACCCTCTCGCCGGGACTGATTGAGAGATGCAGATCTCGAATGGCTAGATCCGCAGGCGGCTTCTCCTCGCCGGCTGAGCTCGGCTGATCCCTGGAGGCTCCGTAAGACGCCGAGACTCCTTTGATCTCGATTGCTCCCTTCTCAGGCCAGCTTTCCTTTGGAATGATGTCTTCGTTGGGCCCAGTCTCTGGGGTCACCGTGTCGCTAAACGTCTTTAGGCGCGCCACTGCTCCTATACTTGTTTCCAGCATGGTGTATGACTGAACGATTGTAGTCAGGGTATCACCAAAAGACATGAGAGTTACTAGTGATGCTCCGGTAAATCCAGAGCTGGCCCGCAGTTGCGTCGCCAGCGTCACTACAATGGTCGCGAGGGCTGCCACGAGTAACTTGAGTGCCAGCTGTAGCCACCGCTGGATGATTGCGAGCTGGTATGCTGGCCTCTGGCTGGTGTCGAGAAGGTCGTTGTTGACTGTGATATCCGCAGAGATGAAACCCAGAGCTCTCAGCGTCGCCAAACCTTTGAGAGTGTCAATGAAGTGGGAGCTGTGGACGAGATCAGTCAGTTCAGCCCCGGATGTTTTGGGACAGTAGTCACCAGCAGACTCACTAAAGAGGACTCTTTGCTTCGAGCTCCAGAATACGTAACTGCCTCGAAGTACGAAGGTAAAACATTTGCACAAAGTACAGAATAGCCACAAGAAAGGGGTAACTAAGCGCCAACCAAGGCGACGAGACAGCAATAACGACGGCCATACCCACAGCGGCAAAAAGCAATACGGAAAAGTTGATCAGTGCCATCGGTAGCTCACTGTCGATCAAAGCGAGATCTTGAGCAAATAGATTCGTCCCCGTCCCCGTGTCAGTCGTCGCAAAGAACCTCAACGGCGCGCCGACGAGCGTCCGCAGGGCCCGCTGGTGCAAACTCGATCCGGACTGCGAAATCATGGTCCGCGTGTTGATAAAGACGACCACCATCAGGGACCCGAGACACATGATTTGTAAAAGAGCGTAGATGCCCATGTAGAACGCACCCGAACGCTTAGGAGACTCGGCAGTGATGTCCTCGGACCAGAATTTCAGCCAGACGGTGGGGAAGTTCATGCAAAAGGCGTAGGCGCAGCACCAGAAAATGAAGACGGCAATGACCCATTTCGCCATGCTGCCAAAGTAGTGCCTGTATACTGCCACATCGCCCAGCTGGCGTGCCTTGTCCGGTTCGTCCACCACGTCGGAGACTTCAGTGACTGTTTGCGCCAAGGGTATTTTCTCAGTCTGGCTTGCTGCCTCATGCTTTCCCTGAGGGATGGTCTCGGCTTCTTGGATCCTGAGGCTTTGGACGTATTTTCCGTTGGTCTGCAAGTCTGCAAATAATCCCTGCTCGACTACAGTACAGTCGGCGCCGAGTGCGATGATATGGTCTGCCAATGGTAAATGACGCACAGAGTGCGTGCACAATACGGCTGTGATGCGCCTCTGACGAACGATGCCTTGGTTGCCAAAGACCAGGTTGAAGACGTGCTCTTCGGTGGTCGCGTCGAGGCCGCTCATGATGTCGTCCAGGATGAGCAAGTCACATTCAAGATACAGGGCGCGAGCGAGAGCGACTCGTTGTCTCTGTCCACCACTCAGGGTGAGCCCGTTGCTGCCGATCTTGGTGCGATCGCCTTTGTGCAGTGTTGCAAAGTCGGCAGATAGCATCGTAGCGTCGATTACTTGACGATACCGTTCAGGGTCCAGTCCGGAGTGTCCAATGATATTGGCCTTGATTGTGCTATTGTAGAGGAATGGAGATTGGTCGCAGTAGCCTACTCTGCGATGGTTGGCACTGAAGATCACTTCACCGGAATGGTATGGGACCTCGCCGAGAAGGCCTTTCAGAAGTGTCGACTTGCCGGAAGCCACAGGCCCTACGATGATAGTCAGGGAGTTGGCAGGTACAAGTACGTCAACGTCATCCAGAACGTACTTCCCCTCTGCCCATCCGAACGAAGCATGCTTCACTGTAATTGATGAAGCCTGAAGGTCAGCGGGCTTCGTATCGCTTTCCAAACTTGACGGACGAGGGGCTTCGGGCGTTTTGCGATAATCTACACGGCTGTCTTTATCTAGGTAGGCCTGGATACGGCCCAAGCAGGCGAATGCCGAAACCAGTTGCGGAATGGTTTGGAACAGGCTCCCCAACGGACCAGCCAAGAGCATGAGATACGCCATGGAAGTGAAGATACGCGTGACGTTGAGAGTCTGAGAAGTCACGGCGAAAGCCATGACGGGGCCAAGCTGAGAGGGCGTGTATGCGATCGTCACGGCCGCGAGGAGCATCAGTCGCCATTTTCCACCTACTCTGAGTTCCTTGAGGCGTAAGCTGTGAATCAGGCTTTCAATCGGCCCCGACATGGCTGAGATCTTGAGTGCCTTCATGCTGGAGATAGCTTTGGCAGTGACACCGACTCGCTGCTGGATAGACTCCATCCACAAGGTCTGACGTTTTCCTGTAAATTTGGCGGTCACCGTGGAGGCTGCCGTACAGACGATGACGACAACAACGGGCGCAACAAAGGCGGCGCCAATTTGTCTTTGCAGCAACCAACACGCCAACGCAACCTCGATCGTGTTGGCCCAGTACTCGTGGATCGGCTGGAAACCATTCTTGACGCGCTCCACGTCAGCGTTCATGAGTGTCAAGGCTGCTGAGTCGTCCGCGGCGGACAGGCTGATGACGGTCGTTTTGCGGTAGACGGCCGAGGCCAAGATACCTCTTGCCATGTGAACGAAGCGCTCTTGGAAGTACCAGTAAACGGAACTGGATGTAGCCATGCCAATATAGGTGAGAAAGGCAGCGCCAATGTACCCGTACCCCTTATTCGGTGACAAAGTGCCCACGGGCTCCTGGAGGTAGTTCAACAAGCTCTCAATCATGAGAGGCTGGCAGAATTTGAAGCCCATCTGACAAAGCCGTGGAACGATGGGCAGTATGAATGGTCCTACGAGCGTTTGTGTAAGACCCCTGAATAGAGCATGCTTGTGACCCTGCGCTTTGGATTTCTCTGAAAGAGGCCCGAATTTGGTGTATATGACCTCGGCTGACATTGCTTCATCGAGCGCATACAAGTCGTCGAGAACAAGAAGCTTGCGGAATCCCCTGAGGAAGAGGTCATTGACCCAGAAGTAGGTCGAAAGACTGATGATACCGCTCGTCGCCTCCGGACTTTGCTGCTTGTCGGAAGCTGATATTCGCCTTTTCGTCCTAGATTCGATGGCGAGTACGACGACTTTGAGAACGACACTCGCGATCGACAAGTGAGCTTGATGGAAACCGTTCGTAGAGTCTGCCGATAGCCATTGGGTTCTCGTGCGAGCAATGTCAAACAAGGCGGTAATCAGGAGGTATATGCCGAGCAGCATTGACGGCCGCGGCGAGCGGGCATGCTCCAAAAATGAGAGAAGAATCATGATTAAAGATGCTACAAAATTCATCGCGTCGGATGCGATCCCCAACGGGAACGACCAGTATGTGCCACGGCCTGTCAGAATGAGATGGCCAAGTTGCAGGCCAGAGTAGGTCACAAGGGCGGACTATTAGAGTATTAGACCTCGTGAAATCACCTTGGCAGTGTCGTTGCTTACAATCTTTAGGCATAGTAGAACAGTCTCATCAACAATCATTCGTTTTTGGAGCAATTGAAACAGTCGCAGCACTGAGCACAGGACTAACACGGCTGCCGGAGTGATTGCCAAAACGGCTTGTTCAAATCCGACAGTGAAGTCAAATTCATCACGGCATCCATGGACGACTGGACCCAGGGACCTGTCGTTGGCACATGAGGAATTCATTGAGAGACTGAAAATGCTGGCGTTGGGAAAAGATCGCCGAAAGCGCAATGGCGCACAGGTGAGACGCGCTGCATGAATCGAAAGGAACCGACTGAATTTTGAAGAAATGTACCTTGGTATTAACAAGGTCCCTTTATCAACAAGTTGCCCCTTGTGCGGCGTAGCATCACCCCGAGCAAGTAAGCATCATCTGTTGGGCTGAATTTCCGGCTCTATTGCTCGACATTTCGGTTCTCCACTTAGAACTGTGCCCCTTTGGCCAAAAATGAAAATAAAAGAGTCCACCTTCTTAGAACAGCAAAACACAAACAAGAACATTGCTTCACTCCTCGCCTTAGCAAGGGCAAGGGAAAATACAGAAATTGCAAGGAATAGGGCAGGGGATGATAAAGCAGAAGCGTCCGGGACAAGGTCCGCGACCATCATCACCGCCGCGAAGGCCCATCTCCATCTGTTCTGTTTGGGGCTGTGGGCGCCGAGGATCTTTTGCGTGGTGAGGCTGATTAGTGAGAGGTTTAAACGTTTACGGCTATTGGACGGAAGAGGACTCTGTGCTCACCCATGGGTTGGTAAGGGGCTGGCTGTTGGGCGTCGCTCAATGTGGAAGGAGAATCTGCACGCCCAGATGGGGCAACTTGGCTAGATTGGTCCATTATGTTGTTGGAAGTTGGTGGAGCTTTCGTTGGCAATTGCGCCAGATGAGTACACTCCTTTGGTTGCGAAAGAGGGAGATGTTAATGTCTCCAGAAGATGAGAAATATGGTCTGGAGTCGAAGATGTTGCTGGGATGAGAAAGGTAAATGGCCATGACGCAGCCGCCTCAGAAAGAGATGGGATGACAGCAATCCAATGGGTGGCTGTGCAGGCGTCACGTGCAGAGCCGATCAGGTGATCCTTATCAAACTACGAATGCTGTCAAAAGCTCTATTCACGCGCCTACGTTCCAGAAATTCGATTAAAAGCTAGCTCTATTGACCTGGAGACGTGAGGAGATAGACAATATCCATGATCGTTGAGTTCTCCTGCCGCTTGGTGGCTGCACGTTGCTTCTGGAGTAAATTCCACATCGGACGAATGAGGCGGCAGCCGCCTCGGAGGTCCGACCCGCTGGTCGGATCCCAGTTCCGGAGCCGAGACCCACTCTCTTGCTCCGTGCCCGGTCCGGCTATCTGCGTCACCACGTTGTCTGCGCCCAATCAGTTCGTTGCTCCCTATCCTACCTTACCTTCACGGAAATGCTTTGTAAGATTAGAGAGACATCAAATTGAATTTTATGTTTCGGTCGCGGTCATAAGTTAACTTGATGTGTAGTATGCTTCAATGTAGCGTATCTCGTAGTATCCATGGCTCAGTAAGGTATAGTAAGGGAAGATAGGCCACCCCGACCTACGCCGACATAGATCACACATGTAAACGTCGGGTAAGAGATGGTACACTGAGATGAAGTGGAGGCGGGATCGACAGATATACTGTGCGTAGGTGCTCATTCGCGCATATGGTACTCAACCCCGGACCCGTTTCATTCCAATCCCGTCGGACAGTTTCAAAAATAAGCCTCTGGTTGCATTGGCTCTCGGGGCGATCACTGACTCGCCATGCAATCGTACAGAAATACCTACAACTGCGGAGCGACCGAGACAACGACCAGGCAAGGATACAACCCCCTTTTTACTATTTTGACAACTCCCAAGAGTTCCCAAGTGTTGCTGAACCATTCAATTCAATCGCATGTGGGGGCCACCCGCGCGAACAACTCACCATCGTCAAACCACTAGCCATCGTGGGGGGTTGGCGACTTTATTTTAGTAGGGCGCTCTCGTCCTTCTAAATAAAGGCAATGTATGAGACGCGGACAGCATCCCGCACCACGGTCGAGAGAGAGCCAAGAGAAGGACAAGAAATAATTGAAACGTTCATCGCCAAGACCAGCGCGAGACGGCAGCCACAAGCTTTTCTTGCTCTCTTACTCTTTTACCGCTCATAGCAGATCCTCATCGCCTGCTAACTAAGCCTACTTCACTGTGATTGTCGCTGGCATCCTTTCTACCGCCCTCGGAAACCGATGATACTCCAAACCTGCCAAGGTGCAGCCAAGATTTTCGGGCCACCAGCCGATTGCAGCGCCAGACGTCTGTGGCCGAGCCTCAATTAGCAGCCTTCCAAAATAGACATGATAGTCCTGGCTACTGTCCAAACTGTAAAGAATAGGACGTGAAAAGAGGAGACGAAGGCAAATGGCGGGTTCTGATGAAGTATATAATCGAGACGAACGAACGCACAGTCTCAGTCTCATCTCTTCACTAGCTCATCATCACACAACAGTCTTCAGCTTCGACTTCATCCGATTCAGACGCCTCGAACTCATCTAATCTCCCCCGCAACTGCCAAACGCCAGACTACCAATTCCCCATTTAAACCAGCAATCATGCGTGGCATCTTCTTCACCGTCTTCACCCTCATGGCCGCCGTCGCCGCGCAGGCACCATACACCGGACCTTGCTCTGATACCGCCTGTGGCGTGGAGAGCGAGAACTGCGACGCCCAAGGCCGCCAGTGCTTTCCATTCCCCAACATCGCCCCAGCGCTCCGCGAGGGCTGTGTCTGCGGTTCTGGTTAAACCGACATACAAAAGAATTGGAATTTCATAGGCGTGAGTACGGACCACTACCCCATGATGTAACAATCATCATCTCATACTCGATACAGGTTTTGGGATCAGACTCGGCAAAGATCAAAGCGGCAAGGCGCGCATAAAAGGGCCACCGGAACCTCATTTAGAAAGGTTCCGTAGAACATGGCACACAAGCGACACTTTGGCGCCAAGGACATCGAGTATACCAGCATTGTTACTTCCATAGCGCTAGATATTGGCTCTTGATTACTTAGCGAATTCATTGCATTTGAAATTCCAGATGTTCACTAAACGTGAAGGAGCCCTGTGCTCCGGCCGTATTCGGGACTCGACCTAGTTCTGGTGATAGTATCTTTTCAGATCCAATTCTAATCTTCCAAGGAGAAGAGCTTGCAACCATCATCAACCTCATGATGTAGGGCTTCCCCAAGCAATGGACTACTGTGATCAGAGGCGAAAGACGAGAAAGACGTGATTCGTTCGCTGACTGAATCCGTTAGCTGTTTGAGTCAGTTTATGCCCGAGAGAAGAGCTTGGCGTTGCTTGACGGACATCATTCCGAGCAAAACCGCCCAGCCCGGGGCCGCGCGAAGCCATACTCTTAGGAAGCTTGTGTCGCGGGTTTCTCAAAGGGATGAACCTGGCTGAGATCTTGACCTCAAATGCGGAGAAGACCGTTGAGGAATTCAGGAGACGACGACGCAGCCAAGTTAACTTCGCCATTCCCATGGCTCATACTTTGGTGGATGTTTAACTACGCCATCGTCCAAGGATTACTTGTTCTTTACAGTCTTCATTGAAAATGCCGACTTACTCGGTCGTAGTGCATGATTCTGCGCATCCGGCTGACAGCAGTACCTGTCATCTGCGAGCGTTTGGGCACGGCTGGCTCCAGAATCAAGATAGTTAGACTGAACCGAATGGGCATATTCGTTGAGAACTCGAGGCCCTAAGGTCTTGTTCGTCCTGTCCCTCTCTTTTCAAAGACGGGACCTTTCAAGTCTCAACATCGGATCAAGATCCCATGACCTTGCTCAAGTCTGTCTCAGCGGTATCCTGCTTTCTTCAGACTACACCCTTCACACATGGTCCCCGAGGCTTAAAGCCGAACTTGAGATCAGAGGGTCCCGTCACAGTTGTGTTCATGGCCATATTATCGACCTCCTCCAACGGTACTCTCTCAAAGGCCCTTGATAGGCTAGCGATTACCATAAAGGTTTCATCAAGAGACACTCGCTTGCCCAGGCAACTCCGTCTGCCTTGAATTAGCACAGGTAGTGGCAGGTCAGTCCGTAAGCTACCTTCCAAGTCCTACCATCTCTAGGAGACAAAAACACCCAAGTCTCCAGACTCATCATTTAATGCCTCTGTATCCAGTTCAATAGCCCAAGAATTCGCAAAAAGTGTCGCTCCACTGTCGATACGCTTACCATAGATCTCATTCTCCCTCTCGGCTCTTCATGGGATACTTCCCGGCGAAACCAATCACCAGCACATGACTTCTGACACCACAGCATCGATGTTAGCCAACTTAGCCCGGTCCGCAAAGCGCGGCGGCCGCTTTCTGCTAACGAATAAAATAATCTGCGATCGCGCCACGTAGTCTGGATTCGCGTGTGCAGCGACCAAAGGCCAGAGCACCTGCCGCGTATCAGTCTCCATCTGCCTTGAACACTCGTTGCGAGGGTGAAGGCCTGATCTATTTCCGACGACGAATAGCCGGTCTCGGCGTACTTGGCGGTCACTGCTCGTGCTTGCACTCGCACCCAATATGACAGAATTTCCATCTGAGGTTGATCACATACGACCACACCCATCGGAGAATTCGGGATCCCGTCCGCTCTCCCATAGACAAGCCGATGAGGGCCAGATTAGTAGTTGAGTCGGTGACGATCAGCGAATACCTGGTGTTGTATGTTTTTTGACGTTCCTTTTGTTCAGTGGTGGGTCACGATATTGCTTGGATAACAACAGTACCTAGTAAAGCTGACTGGTTGACTTGCTGAAACTTTGGCGCAGCAACGGATCTAAGACTTGGAGCTATCATTCAATAATGGATTCTCGGATGGGCATTATGCTCGTGCATCAAGTGAATCGCGGCTCTCGCTGCCACGCCTCGGTGATCATGTCCATGCTCACAGAGCTCGGCTTATGGCTGCAGTACGCGATGCTTTCTCAAACAGCTCAATTTGTGCGGCGGCGGTGTCGCGAAACACCTTGGGAACGATCCCAAAGAGTCTCGTCATCATGACTCGTCCATGTGCCCTAAAATCCATTCATCCCACTTTAGGAGCAGTCTCTCTTCAGGTGAGCGATGAAGGTCCCCAATGATATGGAGCTTGATGGGCTTTGAGGTCGCCTCATTATTCTTGGCTTTTTGATACCAGAAAGAAGACCGTCACCAGTTCGACTGCCCCCCGCTTGGCTGATTGAGTTGCTGGCCTATCGTTGTCCAGACAAATCACGGGAAAATGTTGGGCCTGGGCATGTAGAGATAGCAACAGGGCGAAACACGGATGGTGCAGACAACTTGGTTATTAATAGTGATCGCACCATTCCCTACCCAGGATATGCAATTGAGCGGAGTCGTCAAGAAATCGTTCCGGGGCATCTTCGACCATCGGATCAAGGAACAATGACCTTTGGAACCTCACCTATCGTGCTCAGTCACTTCCTTTCGGCATCATAACGCAAGAACAATTGATATGTATCCGTACCTTACTGACCAAAAGACAGCCGTCCGGAAAGATTCACACTAGCCGGTTCCGCTGCGTCACAGATTGTATGACTGGCTAGTTGATTCGGATGAACTGCCAGGATCTACCATAAGCTCCGCTCCGGAAGCAACACCGGGCGGGGCCGGACCGTTTGGACTAGCGGCTCGTTTTGACCGGCGGGTAACGGAAGCGGGGCCCCTAAGAGCTAGCAAGATAACCTCATAGGGCAAGATAGTGCTGACAGAGACTACAACATCACGGGCAAGGCGAGAGGCCTGAAGCCAAATGGCGTATATGCATTTCTAGACAGAGTCTAAACAATCCCGTTGTTCAGCTAGGTCACCCATGTAGCTTAACGTCTGAAATTCCATCAAAAGCCGTCTTGAGCAAGGATACTCATGCCTCCGCCTCCGGTTTTTGCGCATAGACAACGAAGCTGTAATCATTGTTGTTAGCCAAATGTCTCGTGGTCCTTCAAACTAAAGGGAAGTATGGAGGAAACAGCAGACTCACTACTCCATGTAGGGATGGAAGGTTCTAGACTTCAGCTCGCGACGGACGTCTGCGAGAAGTACGATAACCTCCTCCTTGGTCCATCCAAGTACACCGGTAAATAGTCTCAAGGTGAAGGCTTCCAGCCCATCCAAGATTTGCATCAGGTTGATCATGCCTAGCTCCTTGTAGTAGGGGTCTTTCGGCCAGTCCCCAACAGGAATCTTGAACTTCTGGTGGGTGATGTTGACGTAGTCGCCGGTCTCTCTAACCCAGTCCTCCAACTGAGGCCCCGGGTTAGCTTCGCGGTTGACGCGCTTGCACGCATCAAAGAACAACTCCGACCACTTGCTAGTCTGGTGCTCTTCAGTGTAACTACCATCATCTGAAGTGTATCGCAAGTTGAAGTCCTGGAATTCAACCCAGCCGCCAGGGTTCACGTTCCTAAGTTGAGAAAGTTAATGAGAAGGGTAACAAGTGAGCTCCTTGGCCTTGAATACTTACTCATATATCCTCTCCATCAACTTCGGCCAGTCTGCAAGTGACGCAGCCATATCTCTGCAAAATATGAAGTCATACTTCCTAGAGTTGACCCAGGGACTCTCAACATCATCGATCTCGAACTTCACATTTGGCGGAACCCTGCGTGGCCCTGGTTAGTCCTGACAATGTTGCCAAGATTTGTCGGGGTGACACTCACCAAGTTGGCTGAATAGCGCTGAGATCATTTCCCACCACCTATTGCGTTATTCAAGTTTTAGCTCAGGTCCAAAGGGCGATCTGGTTATTCCATGCTTACTTCGGCTTTGGGAAACTCCTCACCCATAAGCATTGCCCCTAGCAGCTATCAATTACTGTTGGTTCAAACAACTCAATCGCAACTTACAGATTCCAGTTCCAGTGCCGATGTCAAGAATCCTGTGGATCTTATCTTCCTCAATCGGGGCCAGAAAAAGCTTCTCTCCGGTAGCTTTGACCATCATCATATGCAAGAAGTCCAGGCGGTCGGCCTCTGTCTTTAGGTTAGACGCATTAGCTAATGAAGTTCTCCTCAATTGAGATTTGATACCGTCATACCTCATCATTAGGACCCCAGTATGCTAGTTCTCGTTAGTCAACTATCATACAGACAACACACCAGTGATACTCACATCCAGATCTGAAAGCATGATAGCGACGACCATGCTCTGTAGGGTAGTCAACCACGCTTGAAGTTATTGATGCCGTATACGAGGACCTCATTGCCTACTTAGCCTCAACTTGAATCATCTCGTGCTCAGCTACTTACCACCGATCATCAATAGTAGACGCGCCGTCAGATCCCTGGCGATTGGGTTAGGACGAGTTCAGTGCAAGCCTGGCGTTTGTAAAACATACAAGGCCCTCATCGTCAACCTCAATTTGACCTGTTGCATCCTCGTGTTCACTTCGTGGCGAGCCAGGTACTGTAGGGGACGCGGTTTTAGACCTCAAAGGCGAAGCAGTCTTTGACCTGCCGGGGGAGCCATTTTTCGCGCGACCAGGGGAGCCAGATGCCGGTGGGCTGTTTGTTGTTCCAGTCATACTGAACGGCGGCCAGGGTTTCTGGGGTTCTGTTCCACAACTTGCGCCAAGAGGTTCAACCTTTGAGTGAACAGAGAGGTTCAGGGAACATTAAATTGGAAGAGGGAGTTGTCAATGGAAAAGATTCGTCAGACAGTCAGTATGGAGAATTTGTACTCAATTTGCCGCTCTTCTTGCGGGCTCCCACAGCTTGTGAGCCCCGTTGTTGGTGCAGGGCACTCAGATGTGCATGCAGAATGCATACAAACGTTCCATTTCATCAAGTCAACGTAGCAAACTTCTATCTTCCAGGGATGTGAGACTAATCAGCTGCTTCTTAGCAAACGGGTAGCGGGGCATGTCAGGCTGTCGCATCTCATATTCGCGGAATCGAGCCCAATAAGAAGTATTCGCTCCAGTCTCCCTGGTCACGATGTGGATATTACAAGGGAAAGCGAAAAAGCCACATCATGCACGAATCAGCTGAGAGAACATTTCTTTCGTCCCCTCGTTGCTGAGAACCCCAAATGGAAGGTGAAGAGACAACAGTCCCGGGCCTCCGGACAGGAGTAGACAAAATATGCATGTCTCATATTCTGGCGGATTACTCGGATAGACACTTTATTTAGGATGGAAGCCTTCTCGATAAAAACGCCATGCTTGCTTTCTATTCACTGCGGCTAACCTAAGCTTCCTCCTCTGGTTTCTGAGCATAAACAACGTGACTGAGAGGTTTCACTATTAGCTAAATCAAGGGCGGGAAATCAGAGAGGAAAAAAACCCACAATTCCATGCGGGCATGGAAGATGCCTGTCTTCAACTCATTTCGACAAGCTGCTAGCATCACCATGACTTCTTCCTTCGTCCAACCAAGTACGCCAGTAAGTAGTCTCAAATTGAAAGCTTCCAAACCATCCAGGATCTGGATGAGGTTGCAGAGACCGAGATCCTTATAATGAGGATCCTTGGGCCAAGTACCAATTGGCAGTTTATACGTCTCATGGGTGACGTTGGTAAAGCCGGCCTCCGTGACCCAGTCCTTGAATAGGGGACCCGGACAGGGCTCACGGCCAATCTGCCTGCAGGTGCTGATGAATGTCTTGTTCATCTTCAGACTTTCGTGCTCATCGGTGATGGAGCCATCATCAGAGCGGTATAGGAGATCCCAGTCTTGAAATTCGACCCAGCCTCCGGCGTTGGTATTGCTTTGAAGACTTGTTAGTAGTGAAATTTAACGACGCGATGTTTGAGCGCTAACTTATAGATATTCTTGACCAACTTAGGCCAGTCAGCGATAGCGCCGGCCATAGACCGGCAGAAAATGTAGTCAAATTTGGTTGTATGCAGCCAAGGGCTTTCGACATCGTCGACCTCAAATTTGACGTTTGATGGTACCCTGCTTCCTGTTAGAAACCATCTCATAAGGGAGAATCAGTGTTTAGCTCGTACCAAGTTGGTTGGTTCGCGCTCAGGTCGTTTCCGATGATCTTTCCAACCGCTCAGTCAGCTCTTGGCCTGCAGTTAAACGACAACTAATTTCCGAAGCCAAATACGCACCTCGGCGTTGGGAAACAAGTCTCCCATCTCCATAGCCCCTGTGTGTCTCGTCAGTTGATGAGAGCGGTAGAGATGGAAAGAGCTTGATCCACTCACAGATTCCAGTCCCAGTGCCAATGTCCAAGATGCGATGAGTCTTGCTCTTCTCAACTGGGGCTAAGTACAACTTGCCAATGGCCTTGAAGATCAAGGTCGAGAGGAAGTCAAGACGATCCATCTCATTCTATACAAATGTAATCGTCAATATGTGTTTCATTACTCTGGATGAAAATATGGCAGCACCTCATCATTTGGAGCATAGTAAGCTGTTGATTGTTAGCTCACGAGAACGAGACACATCGGTGATAGTATGCTGACCTCCACCTCGGAAAGCGTGATAACGACGGCCATGCTCTACAGGATAGTCAACCACACTAGAGCCTAAGGAAGCTGTGTAGGATGATCTGGCTCAAGTTGTGAGTTTCATTCCTGGGAACATTGGGTAAGGTGGAGCCCTACATCTGGTCATCAATCGTTGAGGCCCCATCGCCGACCTGGCCCCTATATTAGCGAGATCGGTATTCATTCAAGTATGAGAAAATAGACTACGAACACTGAGTCCTTCGTCAACCTCAATATCATCTGCATCTTCGTCTGCAACTTGGCCCGCGGGTGAGTTCTGGGCTACTGGTGAAGCAGTCTTTGATCGCGATAGACTCCGGTTTTTCGGTGACGCGGTCTTTGAATTGGTGGGAGATACAGCCGTTGCCGCCGGGGGAGAGGCGGGCACCGGCGATTGAGCGCTTGGTGACCCGGTCATCATGGATTTCGTCCCGGGAGTCCGGTTCAAGTAACGCAATTCTATGAAACTCGGGGATGATGAAGAATGACTGAAACGGCGAACAACAGTGGAAAAGACTCTGTGAAAGGTAGATCAAGCCAGACAGTCAGCCAGCTTTGTACTCGCTGTTGGTTTCCCTGCATCCTGCGGGCTCTCGGCTATTTGGCACCTCGATGTTGGTGCGCAAAATGTGTTCAGCCATGCAGAATACGCAAACAAACGTGCCATTCATCAGCTTTGCTTGCATGTCTCCGGGATGTATAGCAAATGAGAGCGTTGCCAACGGTTCCAGCAGCGGGGTGTTGGCCGTTGGTTGCAGCCAGGCTTTGTTCAGTAGAGACCAATTAAGACGGTTGGTTCCGGTCTCCCCGGCCTTGCTGTGGATACTAAATCCGTCTAATCCGGAGCGATGCATAAAACAACAAGCGAACCCCTCTCTAGGAGTTATCGTTACTGGATTGGACCGGAAAGCTGATAGAGGGCTGCGCCAACCGAGGCAGGCCGAGCAAACCATGGCCTTGCCTCTCAATACTCAATGCCTTGTGGCTGTGTGGCATCTCGATGTTGATCTCATGAAGATAAGTAAGTAGCCTGAGCCTTGATTCAGAACTAGGTATAGCCAGACTTAACAACAATAGAGCTGTTGGAGTCATTGCCATGCATTGGTATCATTGGCCAAGTTCCCTCCTCGGCCACACACAGCCTGAGGTTACTTTTCAAGACGGCATATTTATGTACCTCACACGGGTAGAAGTTTTCTGCATACTGCTTACAACATTTCTTACTCTGGCCTCTGTCCATAGACTACATGACTGTTGGTCTTGTCAGCCACATTTCGTCGTACCTTGTTCTTCCTAAGGCGGTACTCACAATTCGCCATAGGCGTGAAAGACTTGCGATCTCAGCTCTTGTCGAACTTCGGACAGCTGTGTCGATACCTCTTCTTCTGTTTTGCCAAGAACTCCGCAAAACAGCCTCAATGTGAACGCTTCGAGCCCGTCTAGAAGCTGTATCAAGTTGCCTAGGCCGATGTCTTGGTGGTACTCGTCTTTAGCCCACGGCCCGAGAGGCACCCTGATTGCCTTATGCCCGATATTGATGAATCCTGCATCTTTCACCCAGTGCTCCAGCTTGGATCCAGGGCATGGCTCGATACCACAGAGCTTGGCTGCTTTCAGAAACTCATGATCCCACTGGTATGTTTTATGATGGGGCTTTAGGCTATGGTTGAGGGACGAGAATTCAAAGTCATAGTCCTGAAACTCAACCCATCCGCCTGGCCGGAGATTTCTGTGCGAAAAGAAGGTAATCAGACATCCAATATTGCGCCGCTTCCATTCAGTGCCACATACTCATATGCTCTACTCACTAGTGTTGGCCAGTCGGAGAGAGATCCAGCCATGTAGCGGCTGAAGATTAAGTCGAATTGGTCCCCATAAAGCCAATCACTTTCAACATCATCAATCTCAAACCTGACATTGGATGGAACACTTTCAAAAATTAGCTATACGTCAGAGATTCGAGATGCGGTGGGAAGCTGCATATCCTACAGTCTTGGTTGCACGGGACTCAAGTCGTTCCCGATGATCTGCTGACTCTTAGTTTCCGGCCGTATCATCAGATCCTAGTAGTACATACCAAGGCGTTCGGGAAGGCATCACCCATCTCAATCGCCCCTTCCAGTCATAAGCTTAAATACTCTGGAAAAATGTCTTTCGGGACTCACAGATACCTGTGCCAGTACCAATGTCTAGTACTCGATGCAATCTCTTCTCGTCAATCGGGGCTAGAAAGAGGCTGTACCGAAGGAATTTCAGGACTAGCTCGTGATTGTAGTCCAAACGGCCTAGTTCATCCTTGCAGTACCAAGAACTTCTTGTCAGAACAAGTGGCCTTCTTCCAAATTTCGAGGTTTCTTACCTCGTCATTGGGAGCAAAGTACGCCGTGTCAAAGTCAGCAGGGTCCTGCGGCAAGGATTCAGCACACTCACCTCCTGCTCTAAACGCATGGTATCGCCGCCCATGTTCTGTAGGGTAGTCCACGACACTAGAGGTCACCGACTTGGTGTACGAAGACCTGCTTTATTAGCTCTAATCGCGTGTAGCAACTCAAGTTCTCCATACATCCGCTCGTCAAGGGTCGAATCATTGTCCTTGTGAATATAAGCCGACTGTGTTACATCTATAATAGGGCGGTCTATAGACAACTCACACTGTCGCCAACCTCGAGTTCAATACCTTCATCACTAGTGTCTGAGGCAATGCTCATAGGGGAGGCAGCATCGGATCTATCCGAGGAACCTCCTTCGGGGGCGCTCATCTGGACTGCCGTCCCGGTGTACTAAGCAGCTGTTCCGAGCGACTAGTTCAAGGCCAAACAAATGGGTCTACACTGTAGCGAAATCCCCGAGATAGTGGAGAGAAACACTCGCGAAGTGGCCGCGACCCGGCTTCCAAGGTTTTGTATGCGACGATAAAGTCTGTCTCTCACATATCGCAACTCAGGCAACCACGACCGAGTCTGTTGGTGATAGAATCATACAGCATGCAGACGACCCAAGCTAGAATTCCTAATGTCCTACACCGGTCGTAATCCTGCAGAGTCCCGAAGTCGGGAGCTAATCGGCAGCCTGCGATTTGGCGCTTCGCTTCCAACGGCTGGGCACTGTTGTCCTTGGCTGCAGTGAGACCAATCACGTCTTTGTGAGTTGATCGCCCCTGTCTCTGATCTGTACCATGTTGGGCGCATGACACGGCCCAACTTGCTTCATGGACTGTGGGAAGAGGGAAAAGAAACTACATGCATATTTCGAGCCCGACAGGAGGGGAGACGAGCAGGTAGGAACGGTCTCGATGTCTTCCATCTGTGCGGACCACAGAAGTCCGCAACAGTCCTACCATGCGAGCGACTAGAAGATGTAAGCATTGCGATCGATTGAGGGAGAAAACTGTCAGATAACTGTCTTTTCCCTTACATCTCATATTCGAGATGATCAACATCTAGTGAATATCCCAGCGTTCCAGGTACCTTCGGCGAGAACTCCGTCTCCGAAGGCGTGGAGACAAGGAACGGCTTCAAACCCCGCTCCGTCTCAGCCGACTCAAGAATTGATGGGACTGCAGCTCGAGCATGTGTATGCCGAAAAGTGCTGCATATACCGGAGCGAGGTCGTGTGGCCCGCAAGGTCTAGCGTCTCCGCTGGCTCTACGCTTATCCAAATATCCATTCATTACTGTCTCAATAGCCTCTTCTACAATCAGCCCGTGTATCCTGATCCTAAGACCACTTTCTCCAGTTTCGTCGCCTTCATGATTGTCTTGGGTGGCTGCAGATATGCTGATCGAAAGTTCCACGTCTACAGTGGCTTCCCTGACTTGTTTGGCTTGTTCTTGATCGAAGTATGGGCCACTGATGTAGTTGGCCTCGGTCGTTGAGTTCATCCGTTCTTGCGCGTCGGGGTCTTTCGCTTCTTTGAGGAAATCGTGGATGGGAACTCGGATCTTGTATCCAAGAATTGGGTCGACGTTTATGGATGAGGTCGTCAGCTTGGGGGACGTCGAGACTGGCGCTTGCGCCATGGTCGGCTTCTGTTTGTTTACTTTAGGCATTTTTGGACTTTGATCTTAGAAAGTTTAGCCATGTATCATAGCGCAATACTCAGTATCTACTGCCTACTTTATATATGGTCAGGAGGTGACAACAAGGTACCAATTTGTGGCAACGGAGATGTTACGGAACTCTGAATTCCTTGAGCACCTGGATTGCACCTCTACGTCTTGTCTAAAGTGCATAAACACTTTCAGTGGACCAAATGTCACTAAGTTTATGTCACACATTCATTTACGATATCAAGTGAACTCATCTAGGTCTTTCTGAGTCCTAGTACTTTCTTTGACTCTCTTCTTGCAGAGGCGATTTTGTTTACGAATCTACTGCCATAAATAATGGAAATAAGATTTATTTACTCGACGTACAGGATGCACAAGCAGCAAGGGTGTGTCTTCAATAAGATTGGAGACAACAAACGATCTCTGAGGCGTACCCACATGCAGCACTGAAGGTGAGATGCTTGGGGTTTGAGAGGCTGAACTGCGTGATGAGTCGGGTATAGTGGTAGGATCTTCCAGACGCAGCAAAAATCAGCCGATCGGTTATGAATCAAGTCTAACTGTTTGATGTGCTTCGTTTAGGCGTCTGATCATGATATTGACCGAAAATCGAAACGCTATTTCGGTCAATCATGGGAGCATCACTGCCCACGACCCTACAACGAGGGAGGTCTCATGTCGAAAGCCTGTGCGGCCCAAGCCCAAGCAACCTTGCCCTCCTCATATCCGTACAAAGCATGCTCATAGACAGTCACCTCCCCATCAGGGCCGTTCTTCTGCAGATTCTTGTTCTGAGGTACGCCTGAGATGGACAGCCTGACGGCGATCTGCTGCTTCTTCACATCAACCACAAACTCGTCAACCTCATACTTGAGTCCGGCGATGACAGGCAGCAGAATCTTGCCCAGGAACCCCACGGCCCCGACCGCCGGCACCAGGTTTCCGTGCATCGAGATCGTCTCCGCCCACAGCGCCGGCAGCACGGTGGGCATCGTGCCGTCGTTGTAGCTGTAGATGTACTTGCGGTACAGCGCCTCGATCTCGGCGGCCGAGATTGGGTTCTGGGAGGCCTTGGCGGCGTACTCGGGCACGAACGGCGGCGCGGGCACGGGACCTGCTCCCCGGCTTTGTTGGTTCGCGACCTGGTAGAGACGGGCAATCTTGCCGTTCTCGAAGAAGACGAGAACGAGGTCCCAGACCTTGGATGGGGTTCCCTCAGGGGCATCGCTTGTGGTTGTGACGAGGCGGGTGCCGAGGGATTGGGCGGCCTCGTTGACGGTTAACTGGTCTGCGCTGAGGAGGCTGCCCTTCTCGGCCGTCGTGGTGAGGCGGTTGATGAATTGGTCTCTGCTTTCTGTGTTTTCGTTGTAGGTTGCTCTCACTACAGGCTGGAGGTGGTTGTGGACTTCATCCCACTTCTTGTTGTTCACTGCTTCCAGAAAGGCCTGGAAGATGGAAATGATGTCTTGAGATGCCATTTTGAAGCGGATGGGAGGGTCGTGTGTTTTGAGTCTTCGATTTTCTTTCTCGAGAGATGCGTGCGAAGGTCTGGTATGATCTGGATGTCCGAGTCACAGTTGAGATAATGCTCTCCATTGTTATATATCCGTAGATTCATCAGCTTCTCGTACCTCTGGCTCGTCATCGCCGCCAAGGGTAGCCAAGAGACTTCGGTCTCGCAGAAATGACACTGAACGGGCGTTGCAGACGTGTAAGTCGGACCGTCAGCAAGGACCGACGGGCCGCTTTCGTTTGGCCGCCATCTTAATTGGGTCAAAAATTGCTCATATGCCGGGCACAGAGCCTCATTGTAGTATTTCCGTATTAGGACAATAGGAGTAGTCTGTATCGGCGGGGGTGGAGGCGGGTCTCGGATAAAAATGTTCTTTTCAGTAACTCTTTACCGAGTTTACGGCGAGGTGTTCTTCTTAAAGGAAACCCATAGCCAGTTGTTAATGACAGAACTTTATTATACTTTCCCGAGCTTCTAAAGTTTGCTTCAACACACTTACTGGTAATTTCCTTTGCGTAACGTAGTCTGGCCTCTACTCACAATGCAAGGCACTAGGTTTGCCATTGCTTGCAGTGGACCTCGACTTGCATCCGAACTGCAGCTTGACTTGAGCTGACAATGTCATCTGATAATCTTTGACACGCAACTCTTTCTCATATCATCAGTTCTGCCAAGCAGCCCCTGAGAATTACAAGTTGGAAGCTGTCGGCCGACCGCCTCTACGGTTTTGTAGGTGGGTGGGTCGCCTGAGAGCTCGGCTCGTCGCTGGTGGGTACCGGCTTGGCACCGGCCCCGCCTCCACGTCCGCCTCCGGCCAGCACCGCCGACGTACTTGCGATGACTTCGGCCCTTGCCATTTCAAGTTGGTCAGTTGCTCTGAGTCCCTATAACACCCTGGACGGAAGAGGAAACGAAGCTTACCCAACTTCTGACTCTTGAGTGAGTCCTACTTCCGATGGCTGCCTGAACTGTGCATGATGCATCTCGAAGTATCACCCTACGATGATGCTAGTCTCTAGCTGATCAATTGGCAGAATTAAGTTTCAGATCGCATTTGATGAACTGTTGCAGAGAAAAGGAAATGCATATTGTTCCATGAACGGCAATAAGGGCTGTCGCCTCATGGAAATCTCACCATGCTCTCAGTAGACGTCTAGTCGGGACCATCGTGATTGACGTTGCCCGGATTACCAACAGTTTGGACCGACTTTGAACAGAATTTCGATCAAAACTAGCTGTGAGGTTGTGATAAGTCTGTGACACGACCAATGAGAAACACAAACCCATTTCTCATCCTGGCACGTCGCTCTCACCGTGCGGCATTTCATCAATGCTGTTGCCTGATTTAGGCACTGCTTCCCTTGGTGCCATCGCTTGGTTTCAGTTCCTTGCATAGCATGTTGTGTTCAGTGTTTGGAGCCAAGATCGAGGTTTCCTTGGTGCCTGTTCATGTTGATGGTTGGTACAAGATGCGATCGCCTAGAACCAAATGAAAGTGCATTCGCGTTACTGGCATAAAACCCCACGTTGCCTCTGTGGTTGGAAAAACCGAACTTCGTCTGCATTCTCACCGACAACCGATGCATCTCCATCAACTAAACATAATTCGTCGAAAGTTAACATACATATCGGTACTTACACCTCCAAACAATAACCATGGCCGCCGCCGCCGAGTCTGCCCCCTATACGGGTCCCTCTCCCCGCGAGATGATCGAAAGCCACACTCTGGCACAGGAGATCATCAACCGCAACAATGACGCCTGCCCCATCCTCGACTCTGATGAGCTGTCTCTCCTCTTCGATTTCGTCAAAGACCCATCGCAGGCCCGCTCTCTCCTCGAGACTCGCGGACTGGCCGACGAACCCACCAAGACTGGTAGTCTTGTGGCCTACGTCATCTCACTACACGGCACCAACAATGCGGCTCTCACTGACGAGGAGATCCAGATGCTCAATCAATGGTTTCAGAATGGCCAGAGGGTTTAATGAGATGAAGAAACATCCAGGGCGGGAATGGCATGTTCCATGTTCGCACGTCTAAGTCGTACTAGTGGCGAAGGGGCTTCACTTCGACATGGCAGCGGTCATTCTGTGGGCGGGAGCAGCTAGCTTGACTGTTCAGTGACCGACCAAGCTTGTCACGTATTCAATAAATACTCTCACAGATGGCGACAACGTCTGGGCTCAAAGCTTCCCATGACGAAAGTGGTCGTTTCTTGCCGTGCCTTGGGCGTATCTCCTCCTTCCCTCTCTTCCGCCTCCATGGCTTGAAAGCAGAAAGTACCTAGTAGGTGGTCAAGTGCCATGGGCTATGGAGAGACAGGGGAAGACCGACGAAGGGGAATTTCAACAGAGCAAGTACGGACACTCCATGACCGTCATAACCTGCCGGAAATTTCGAGATATTCCTCTCCTGCACCCAAATTCCATCTACATAATCAGCACATACATCGATAGTCAGACTGTCAAGCCGACATGATCATTTCGCGACGCGTGTATTCTTTGACCTCTAATGGTAACTTGTCTGTTCTATATTCTCCCTAACCACCACTATCTATCATCGGCCCTTACGTACCAAGCAGGTCGGAGGTTGGCGAGGCGTTTGGAAGGAAATCCAAGCCAAGGCTGACTGTAATGCCCACTCGATCAAAGCCAGGCGTTAATCGTTATCTTAAGGAGCCCACCCTATTGTTCAACAGTGGCCACATCTGCGATCTCGTCGCAGCCATCCGCGCATCTACAACAGTCAATCGATACAGTCAGCTTGGTGTGGCTGTCGTAAAGTCGATCACTTAGAAGCAGTGTCCGGTCTGGGGATCAGCAGCTTAACGAGCACGCTGCTGAAACTCGCTCGGCGTCGATGATCATGGCGAACAGAGATCTCAGTGCTAAATACACTTATGTCTTTGACAGACGTCGAAGGCGCCTCAATCCTGCATGTAGGTGAATCCAAAATGGTCCTAGACCTGTCGATCTTTGCAGAAGAACGACGTCTAATTTGTTGGAATGCGATATAGGATTCATCTAGGCCCTACAAGTAAGATCGACTCGAGGCCACCTGGCTGATCTCGAATAGCAGCCGCGCGGGCGCACTCGTTCGCCGCTGCGTGGCTTTCAACGTCTGACTGTGCCAGGCTCAAGCTTCGGAGTTTGCAACGGCCTTTGCGATCTTGCTATCGCGCGCAAGATACCAGATCAACTTCGCCTGCGATGTAGATGCTACGAGCAGCTTCCGAGACGAATCTCTCGACACAAATTTCACCTTGCAGAACGGCTGGTCCAAGTACCCTTTGAACCGGAATTCTCCTCCAGGACATGGCTGCCAAAGCGACATATCTCAGATGGACTCTAAACTCGGCATCGCGGATCCCCTCCAACGGTATCCAATGCCTTTCCCCACACTCGTCCTTGACCAAACCACGCCAGATCGTGTCTCGTTGCCACGACCCAATGAGACTTCGCAAGGCATCTGGGCGGAATTGAGTCTCGGTCGCATCCGCAGGTCGCCCACCTTCTTGATTGATGGCGGAAGTGGCAGAGATGCCAAACAAGGGCATGCTCTCCCCCGGAACCACTCCGGAGCCCATTCCGTCCATGACCCCGGTTTCGTACGCCGACCAATGTGGAGGCAAGACGGCTGTCCGTACGAATACAGACTCCTCGCGTGTCCCCCACAGAATGTTTCGTTTCAAAGTGAGATGGGAGTTGGAGCACCGCGGATCTGCTCAGCCACCGACACCACACCACCGTGGCCACCACGTTTGACCGTTCATCGAGAGGGAAAGTTTTGTCGGGAGAGCACGTATCTTTGCACGGACAGCAAGCAAGATGGCATGCCCGCCATAACACCCCACCATCCTCTTTGGGCGACTCAGCCGCAACTCAGGCTCGCATCCCTGCGAGCTGTAAGTAGCAAGCCACACCCTCCCTGCCTGTCTACTACGTATGGCTGTCGTTGGTCTTCTGGGTTGATCCTATCAAGTCGGTTCAGCATCACCTTGGCTTTTCTTCCCGTCCCCTCTCTTCCCTCCGTCTCCGAATGCCGACCAAGGGGTGTGACATGGAACGTTGCCATTGCGAAGAACTAGACTTGGCCCGCCAAACTCAGCTTCCGAGAAGTGCACTTCCGGACCAGTGTAAGTTCTCGTTGTCGGCATAGACATTCCGCACAAGAGGAAAAGCAAAACGGCGAAACAGCGAAGGGCAAGAGCAGTTTTGCTTCGTATCAAGCGCGGAGCAAAGTGTCCCCTCTTTATGCGTTGGATCTGTCAACCCCATGCAACGCTTCATGCGCCGCGAGCCTAGAGTCGCCAAGCTGCAACAGTCTCTTGTCGACTTTTAGTTGACAAGCGAAGTCAAATGCCCAACTCCCACGATCTCTCAAGGAGTAGACTTTCAGCCTGAAATCTGCCCCCCTCTAAACAACCTACCGACTGCGACGCTTTGTACTCAATATGCAACCTCTTTTACTTTTCTCACTCAGCGCAGTAGCCCAACAGGGACGCGTAACTCTTCCTTCCGTAAAGCCTCAAACAACTCAGCGCCGGCGGATGACACCATCCCCAGCACCCGTCAGCACCACCTGCATCCCAAAACATGATAGATGCCAACCCGAATCTTATATATCAAATAGCTGGACAGAAACCCATTTTCAAACGCCCACCTTATTTCAGCTGAGTAGCCGAGCTCGAGACACCGCGAAGTAGGCCTCTCCCTCCTTTACCCCTTTTCCTTCTATCGCGTGCTCGCTTCTGACGCCGTCTCAGTAGCGAAACTCTTGCGTGTCGTAACCAGAGAGCCGAATGCCATGGTTGAAACCGTGCCAAAGTTCCCTTGCTTCTATTTCCCCGTTCTCCGGGACCGGTTGAACCCATCTGGCCGCCCGTTACACCTGTCTCGCCTGTCGACATCCGACAGAACAATAATTCCCCCGACATTCAGACGTTCCCCGTCCGTGCGAGCGCCTGCCTGCCAGCAAAGGGCCGACTTTGGAGCTGGACCGTGTTCCGAGAAGCATGGTGGTGGTGTGGTCCACGTAGGGGGTGGACATGTGTAAGCTGGGCGTGCGACAACTGACCGACAGCGGCCAGACCAGGATGATTGATCACTCTGTGTGCCCACCGGCAAACGCTCAGACGTAGTGATCAGTGATACCCGCTGATCGTCCCTAGAAACTCCCGTCTTCTAGAACTTCCCGCTCAGTGCCGCGCATCCTTTGGACCTTGGGACCTTTGGACAGGCTCACCTTCTCGCAAGATTCTTGCTCTCACCCTTGTCTCGAAAGAGTTGGCTGATCTGAACCGGTGTGGGAGGTCTAGGAGTAGATTTCTATCGCGCGCCAAATCATGACGATTACATTGCCTCGATATGGTTGGTTGTCATCTTGCCTTGTCGCAGGTTCTGCCCCGAGACCGACGAGGACGGACAGCATTCTGAGCAGGTAATCTGTACCAAGAGTCTCTAGGGGTAGCTTTTTTGTTGCTGCCTCTCGAACAATGCTAAAATCCGATACAGTCAGCTGCCAACTCTGAAGACGCTTCCAGCTGAGGGACCAGTCGCTCTCGCGAGCAGCACTCTTGGAGACCATGAGAAACAGCTTTCCCCTTAGAGTGACGAACTCTCGACGGTGTAAGTGTCTTTGCCGAGTCATGCGTTGGATGCACAGCGCTGACTTTAAGAAGAAGGAAAAGGAAAAACCTCAAAGATCATCACCAACCCGTCCGAACCTGGTCCTGGACCCTTCAAACCTTTTGTATCTTTTTCATGTTGGCTTTGGTTGTCGAGGCTGGGCCAACTGGCACTTTTTCTGCCTGACTTTATGCGCCTTGGGTTACCTATCCATCCTCTTCCCTTCGAGTCCCTGCCGCAGCCGAGCTGTGCTTGTCAGATTTCACGGGTGTAGATAGTATTGCTTCCCCAAGACCGGGATGGATGGTCCTGTCGAAACTTGATGCCCAAAATAGAGAAACATGCAGAAACGTAGAAACGCGGGGGCACCTTTTTTCTTTTTCTTCTCTCTCTCTCTCCCTCAAGGGGATACCTAAGCACACCACCACTCGACACCACCCTTTTCCACTCCCCTCCCCTCTCTCCCCTTACTGAGGTGAAGCTGAAAAATGAAAAAAAAAAAAAAAAGTTCCAAGATGGAGGGGCAGATCTTTTTCCTGTTTCTTTCCCAAAAGTGCGTGAACATGCGAGCGTCCCAACTCTGTTCCCCCCATCACGCCCATCAACCAAGCATCTCAGATTCCCCTCAACCCTCAACTTCAGGGTCTCCTAGTTACCTACTACGTACGCTTACTGCAAGAATACTCTCTCCCAACATCCCAACCCCAGATGGCACAACCCACATGCCTGCTCGTTAACCTCCGCATTTTGGGGTAAAAGAGTGAGGGAGGAAATTTTGGAAATGGAAAAAGTCACTTAGGCATGAGGGGAAAGGGACGCGAGACACATGTTGGTGAACAGAATTTTGTTCGAATTAACTAATAGCGTAAAATGCAAAATAACCAGTTGAGCTGCGTGTAAGCCAGACCCAGGCCAAAAACCTCCAGGGTTTGCCAAAGGTCGCTCATGATATTCCCCCCTTGCTAAAAAAGAAAAAAGGTTTTCCTGCACCCTCTGCCACTTGAGAAACAGCCAAGTCAAGGTTTTCTGTCCTGCACAGCAGATCCAGAAACCCGGCTTGTGTTCCCATGCGACTTTCGATCCCTCGCCCAAGCAATCTAATGCTTCTCCGAGTCTTCTTCGGCGACGGCGGGGTCTCTCATGCAGGAGGGCGAGCTACATGTCGCCTCTTCCTCCCTGCCCCTTGCTCACGTTTCCCCCCTAACTCGAAGCTGCCACGGGCGCGACCCCCCTTCCCCAGATTCCACGCAATGACCCCCAGCCCGGTAACAACGTTCCATTCACATCCAGTCCCGACTCGCAGGTTTCCGTAGTGTCGTACTTGTGTCCAGGTGGGGTAATCAGCATGGCCTGATTTGGGTTCGTTCGCGCCCGCGTAAGTCGAGCGAGGATTATCGTGAGTGTGAGAGCGCAGAGTGTCCAAGGCTGTGGCCAGAGGTCTCTGCATCGTATCTTTCCCAGCAAGATGTTTCTTTCTGCGATGCCCAGCTTCTTTTGTTCTGTTGATTCGAGTCCCATCTCTCCTCCATTTCCAAGCCAGCCGTCTCCCTCTTGCGCCGCGATGGGCCTCGAAGGGACGGCTGAAGCCAAAGATCTTGTCGACATACCAGTGTCTGCCTTGACAGTTGTATCCCTGATACAATCATGTCTCAGCTACGCGATGATTGTTGCTTGTTTTCATCGACCTTTTGCAAAGAAGCGTTGCTATTATTGGATCCGGTCCGGCTTGCAAGCCTTTTGCTGTGACTGAAATTCGATAGCCTGTGCAAAGCGAAGAAAACCAAGAAAATCGTATGTCGTGGCGTCAAGCCTGGAGCAACGTCATCTTGATTCGTATCGTTGAGCGCGCAGTCGTGAATATCCGTCGTAGGTCGTGAAATGGTCGTCATGAATCATCCGTAAGACAAGAACCCAAGCCCAAGGAAATGAAAAGAAAGCAAAATGCGCAGCGGTTGGTATCTTCCAATCCAGTGTAATGCCGATGGGGGTATCTCTAAGAAAGCCTCTTAAACCGAACAAGAAAATAGACAAAAAAAAAAAAAGTAGAAATCCAAAACGGGGGAATCGAGAATCAAAGGTTGTCGGTTTCTTCTGTCTCGGGCTCCTGGCCTGGAGCCGAGCGGGGGGGTTTTGCATTGCTGCGTGTTCCTCTTATGTAGATGAGAGAAGACCCAAAGGAAATAGTAGAGGAAGGGGAAAAGAGAACAGTCCGCCTATATGTTCGAAAAACCCCCCAACCCAAATGTAAATGCACTCAAATGCCCGCCCCGGACCCAGCCATGATGAGATGATTCGAATGAAAGGTGACCGAGCTTGCGGCAGAGTGAGTGGTGGTGATTGTTGTTCCCCGGATATCGAAAAGACTGTGATAAAATCATACGCTCGCTTGCTGCCGACAAAAGGAAAAAACCCCCAATTATATCTTTTTTGTTTGGTTGATCTCGCGAGTCCCGCAACACCGTTCGCTCCCCTGCTGATGCAAAACGCCGATATGCCTGTGGATGATTCTATGCCGAGCAGACCGAGAAGAATTCAACTTTTCTCCGGGAAACATGGGACCATCGTGCCTGGCAATGCTTATGAGGTCGTTACGACAGGGTAAGTCTCAGATGTGACGGATTCTGGTTGTCACATCGTCGTCGTGTACTCCTGGTAGCGATCCCAGCCGAAGCCACCGTAGCCGACGCTCACGCCACACTGAGGCGTGAACATGCTGGGGAGAGGCAACGCTGGGATGGGCGCCGTGATTGCTGGTGCACTGTAGTAGAACCCGGCCGTGGAGAATGGTTGGCTGTATGCAGGCGTAGGGGAGGGGATCTGAACCTCGCTCATGCCAATGTTGGCCCAGATTGGCGTTGACTCCTGAGATGTTGATGCAATGCTCGGACTTGATGGCAGGACTCTCCACGCATCGACGGCGACTAGGCTGGCAGGCGTAGGGGGTTGCGACCAGATGCTGGCGTTGGCGGGTGAGCTGGGGAGCAGGGGTGGTTGTCTGATGACATCGACAACACGGGGAGGAGGAGGCAGCAAAGGCTTCATGAGGCCCATGATGTTGTTCTTGACCTCCTCGCTCTTACCGGAGAGCAGCTCACCAGCGCCCTCTTCCTCCAGCCCTTCCAAGGCAGTAACATGTGTGCGGTAGACAAACTTGTTAATGGCTTGGACGAAATCCTCATGCAGCTTCTTGCACTGTTGGTCCTTCTCAGACCAGTCGTAGGTGTTAGCCTTGCTGTCGACGCAGTGGATCTCCTTGTGGTACTCGACCAAAGCGTCTATTGAGTCGGTGGTGAGCTTGAAAGCGACCTCGTTGCGCAGGACCATATCGACGTGGACGATGTAGGCCTCGATGTGGAGAAGCTGGTAGTTGAACAGGGCCTCGACGAGAGGGTTCTCGTCTTGGCGCAAGTCAGATTCCGGGGCCTTGGGAAGCATGATGGAAGTGAGAGTCCAGATGGCGTTGGGTGATGACAGTGTCTCGGTCAGACATCTTTGGTGTTGAGGGACGCTGTTGAGTGGACGCTTGATCCGGTTGATGCGCTTCAGGGTCTGTGTCAACCACGGCTCGACCTTGGATCCCAGCACGACGTTGACGGATGAGGCTCTCGGGGCGAAAGCAGCCGCAGAGGCTGGCAGCAGTTGAACAGGCATGTTGGCGGGGATATCTGGAGTGAAAGATGGAGAAGAGTCTGTGACCGGAGGAGGGACGGGGGGAGGATCAGTTGGCGTGAGGTATAACAAAAAAGAGGCGGCTTGGTCGTTATCGTTGTCGTCGTTGTGGTCGTCAAGGATAAGTCTCGGGTAGAGAAGGGTCTTTTGGGTGGTTGATATCTGGGACGGTATTCTTGTTGATCTTGAATCTTGGTAGACACCTCGAGAACAGCGGGGGGAGAGGGGTGGGATAGACGGAGGAGGGAAAATGAAGTAATAAAGGAAACAAGTGATGACGGAGCTGGGCGGTCCCAAGGATTCCGGGAGGATAACAAGGGATATTTGGCTTGCACGCCTGCTACCGCGAATAAGAAGAAGAAGAAGGTAGACGAAGAGCTCGTGAAGAGGAAGAGGGAGGGTGAGAAGAGACAGGATGTGGTGCGAGGGTGGTGGGGTGTTATAATCGCCCGAGAAGGAGACAGCCCTGGGGCCTGGGGCCTGGGGCTTGGAGAGAAAGAGAGAGAGAGAGAGAAAGAGCCTGCGGTCAACCTTCTTTGCCCACTCGTGTTTACTGCTGTTCAGCGCAGTCGAGGCCTGTCATGGGGGTACGAGTTGGGTGGTAAACTCGCTCTCATCCGGTGTGGTGCTTGCTGCGGCTGCGGTACGGTGAGGTGACGAGTACCCGAGGACCTGGACTTATGCGTGGGACAGGGGTGCGTATGGCGGCTAGGTCAAGTACCGGAGTACACGAAAGTGAGCCTTTTCCCCATCAGAGCTTGTCCCGCTACGGAGTACCTATTCGTACTGCTTCTCTTTTGCACCTTTCGCACCTCACTCCCGCCCACCCAAAAAGTACATAGGTACAGAGTAACTACCCTTTCTTTCCCATTCGCCTCGACCAGCCCGGTGGGCTCCCGGCAGGCGGTCCCCATGGTCCATGGTCCAGGAGGCGGGAAGAGGGCGCAAGCAGAGAGGGAGGGGGGAAGGAGAGGAGGGGAGGGGTGTGGCAGGTTACCTCCACTACGAACTTGTCACTGGCTAAGGTGCTCCTTGCTCCTCGCTCTTTGCACCACCCCGTACGAGTTGAGGAGCAAGTGGAGAGAGTGAGAAACAGAGCGCCAGAACCAGATCTCTCAGGTTCCGGAGCTCAGAACTCAGAGCTTCGAGTCCAAAGTACACTACCGCAATAGGTACCACGCTGGAAGAGACAGGAAGGCAGAAGATCCACCATCCATGGATCATGCATGCCGGCGGGGGCAGCGCAGCGCGCTGTGCAGTAGCATCGGATCTCCCTATGGCGCCGGGGACTACTTGCTATAGGTAGGTGCCTCCCAGAGGTACATGTCAAGCCATCTACCGGTACATGCGTCTGATCCAAGGACAGGCCTTAGGCATACTCTGAAGGACTGGCTCTTTCTGTATCCATACGGATATAGGTAGGTACGCAAGTAGGCCTCAGGTTAAGGTAGCCTCGGTGCGCGGTGCATGCATTTTGGGCCGGCTTCCAGGTCTCCTCCTCGCCTCACCCGGATCTCCATACGCAGTACATTTTTCTCCCTCTCCTCGCCCAACGAGGCCTTGTTACCTCCCTGACGGGATACACTATGGAGCTGAGGGCGGGCGGGCGGCGGCGGCGGCGGCGGCCGGGGGAGCTGGAAGCTGGAGCCCAAGGCTTGCTGGCCTCGTCGTTGGCGTTGGCGTTGGGGCCGTTGATGCTCGTCTTCTTCATGCCAACCTATGTGCGTATCCGTAGAGCATCCTAGCCCGTGGCGGATCTAGTGACAATATCCAGTAATAGGACACGTCAAAGTCTGTCGATGGGAGGACTCCAACGAACATGGACCTGCGTTGGTTGTTGGCCTCTCGAGTCCAGTCCGTTCGCCATTGCCATTCCATTCATGCGCTCTCCATCTTCTTTTGCCAACATCGCAACCAAAGTAGGCCATAATTCACTTACATGGACCAAGTAGGCAGCTAGACACCACACCTCCCCCCCCCTCACCCGCCATTTGGCGTTTGCACGGACGTCGTGAGTCTGGTCGTGTCAAGTTGCAGAGTGCCTGTGTATACAATGAACTAAGCAGCCACACAGCTGAGTGAGCCGAAGCAAGGTTTGGCAGGTTGGCAAGCTTAGGCTAGGTGGCCTAGGGCAAGCCAGGAATTCCCTGAATGCTTCGGAAGCCGTCGCCTGCGTGCGCCGCAAGCTTGGGCCAGCATCCCCCCCCCTCCCCCTTCTGTCTTTGCTTTTTACTCTGCCGCCTGTGGGAACACCCTTCTGTGAGAGTTGTGAGAGCGATGTAACCAAACGTCGTCCTGTTGGCTGGTGGTGGTGAAGTACTGCTGACTGAGGCGAGGTGGCTGGCAGGCTGCCCGTTGAGTCTGAACGTTACGAGCGACCTAATGACTTTGGCTAACTCTTGCGTTTTCCCGCTATTCCTTTTGGGTCAAAACTTGACAGACACATGTTTCCCGTCTTGGTTTAGACTACCTATCCAAACTTGAGAGAGCGTGGCTTCTCAAAAGCGTTGTGAGCGGCGTGCGTCGTCTTTTGCATCTGCGCCACATTTCGCTATAGGTTCAACGCTGTGGAATACAACCTCCAACAACGACCTAGAGAAAGTCTGGGACAAGTCTTGAAGATCGTTGCAACAATCTCAAGGTTGCGCCAACACTATGCAAAGATGTGACCAAGCGCACCAAATAACCAGGCTCGGCATTCCATTCGACCCCCGGGTAAGGCTTGCTTAGGTCGGGCGTGGTAAGGCGAAAAACAGACAAACGAGCGATTCCTATGGGCTTAGGTACGGGGCACCGGAGACGGCGCAGAACGCTCTGGTAGATCTGTCTTTGGGTCAGAACAGACTTCGGCATCGATTCGGAGCCATGTACGGATACAGTATGTGCCAGGCAAAGTATCCGCAAACCAAAGTGTAGTGAAAGAAATTTGGGCATAGGAAGCCGCTTCTGATTTGCCGCTCACCCTCCTTCGGCCCCGACTCGGTTCAGAAGATTCGCGGCGGACTCGGTTGACGGCAACGAGTAGCAAAGTAAAGTGTAAATCTTTCCGCTTTTTCTGGACCCATTTCTGGAACCAAACCGATGTAGACTCTAAAAAAAGGTTCAGAGATGGGAAAAAATCAAGAAGAGTATCTGATCTCTGTAGTCTGTACAGAGTACGTGCCGAGCTGCGCAGCGCATACGCTTCTGCATGAAGCGAGCGAGCGAAAGCGACGGCGGCGCGGCGGCGGCGAAAAATCTGTGAAGAGACGGACCGGGGGGGGGAGTCCCCAGAAATTATAGTAGGGACCGCCGTACAAGATCAGGGCTGTGCTGCGACGTGCATATGCTCAATGACAGAATCCGAGAGGCCAGGCGAATGGGAACCGTCGGATCCCGCAAAAGAGCCCAAAATCCCTAGCAGCGAGCTGAGAATGACCGATGTCAGTGCAGATGCAAGCGTAGGCCTGGCCGTGCTGCCATGCCATGCCATGCCCGACTAAGGTCATTTGTATCTCTCGCCGCCCTTCCAACTTCCCTCCGCCTTCTGTAAGAACCCGTGGAAGCCATCCCAATCCGAATGTTCGGTCCGTTCTTTTCAGTCAAGTGTCCGTGTGTACCTCTCCGCAGGTCTGCGCAAGGCGCCTGTGGCTTGTCGGTGTCGTCCGTGGCCCGTTCAGAGGCTTCTCGCGTCCTTGCATACGCCACAGAGGTCTTTCGCAAGGCGAGGGAAGGCGAGAGATCGCGTGCCTCGGGTATTCCAGAGACTTGAACGTCATGCCCCAGTGAAATACGGCGATGTGGTCGCGAGGCGGCCTCCCAAGTTGGCATTCCAGGCGGAGCTCATGCTTGAACACCTGTCCGCCTGGGTTGCGTTCCGTCTAGTAGGCAAGCCCGCTGTGCCGATATTCGTGAGGCAAACCGGACTGCTGTCCTAGACTTTGGGCTCCGTGGCCTGTGCGAACAACAAGAAGTATGGGACAGGAAACGCAGCCTAAACTCAACCCTTGTTACCAACCCTTATACACCGTCCGTCCACATTCCAGACAAGGCAGGTAAGTCGTCGTGGTAGCCGCATATTGCCTCCTGTATATTTCGTTCCGTACGAATACGTTGCGCTGTATCTGTTGCCTGAGATGCCTTGTTTTCCGATCGAGGACTCACAGGGAATCCGGGCTCCTGGGCCTGTTGGTTTAGTCTCGCAATCGCAGGTTGCCGCCATTCTCGGGCTAAGTACCCTCGTACTAAAAAGAGTGTATCGTTGAAGTACTGTCCATGGAGGTCCACCGGTATCTTTCTCTTCACCAGGTCGGTACTTTCCCCCTCTCTGTACTCCATTGCGTTCGTAAAAGTCCACGGCCAATTATATTGATGTGATTAATCCCACGAGAAACTCGTCCGCGTCAAGTCTGAATCCGTGTCTCTCCGGCTAGAGACAAGCCCGATGAGAGACACCTCCGACTTGTCGTTGCCGTCGTACAAGCCGCAAACCCAACTGCCAAAGTTCCCGGACAGCCGATTGATAGAAAAGAAACAATCGGGACTTGTCACTGCTTGTCAGGAATGTTTCTGTCTCAAAGAATGCCTACCCCTGCTTGCCGGCACCCACCAACACCAAGCGCCTCCTTTCACATGTATCTGGTGAGAATGGTACCCCTGACTGCTGAGATGCAGGGTGCGTCCTGGTTGAAGAGCTGCCAGTCTCTCTCCAAACCGATGCTCAGTGAAGTGGGGGTGAACGAAAGAATGACTGAGCCGTAGCATCGACGTCTACGGTCCATGTAGCGCTTCGTCTGACAAGTGTCCATGATCGGGTCAACCTTTCGCAGGGTCTGCACCGGGGCCGTCTAGATCGCTTCCGCGGCCATTTCAAACCATCCGAGCCGGGCCTTCTCACTAGAAACAGTTTTCGATATATCATATTGCAAATATTACTCATCGCGCTCCTTCACCTGCTCTCATGTTCCTTGATCATGCACCTTGCTCTTTTTGCGAGGTATCAGATCTGCTTGCGCAGAGCCTTCGGCGTACAATCGTCGCGAGGGCTGCCATGATTGGAATATATTTGTGATATCATGCTCAAAGGCACACTAGCCCGCGCAGGTCCAGACCTTTTTGCAACCTAGGATGGGTAGTACTGTAACATGCAGGCGTGAGAAAATCAAGCTGCTTGTGTCGACTCGTCTGCCGCTAGGAAACTATCCTGAGGATCCGTCAGGAGGTTGCGCTTATGCACCTGACTGTATCTGTCCACCTTTGACGATCCAGAGACCGTGGCTTATATTTTGTTAGTTAGACCAGGGATAAGGCATAACTACATTCGACAAGCCCCTGGGACCAACGCCGTGGCCATGACGATAGAGCTCGTTAGTGATGGTCAATCTTGCACTGGCCTTGCTGAGACCTCATCGGAGATGAATGAGTCGTCTCCTGGTAAGCGTCATAAAATGGCCTGTCTGTCTTGGCCAGTCGTGTGGTCCAGACGCTGCTTCTCACTTTCCATCAACTATTAGTACCATTATGACTTGCATGTGTCTGAGGACGTTTCTGCGTCTCGCCTTGCATCATGTAGGTTCTAGCAGCAGATCGCTTTTGAAACGACGCAGGCGCGGCCGCGACGGCGGGTAGACCCAATAGCCCGCATAGCATCGTATGTGATCACAACTGGTCATCTCCATATGCAACTTAGACCTCCTTGGAGGATAGGTTTACAATTGCTGGGCCGGCTCGACTTTCATGAGACTCAGGGCACCACCGTGATTGGAGCGGCCAAAGAAGCCAAAGGAAGAACCGCCAGAGGAACCAACACTAAATTCAACCGCCTACAGTCCCGGCCGGGCTCCGCCTTGGACAGCGATATCAGACCAGATGGCGCGACGTACCGCAATCACAGCGTTGCTACTCCGTCTGAGAACTGGCGTGTAGAGTGTTTCCGGAAGCGTGGGATTGCCCTCCTCCCTTCTGAACTTCGCATCGCCGCCGAGCCAAAGGGGGTTGGTCCATCCTAATGGAACGGGATCCAACATCGTTGTGGAGCTATAGAAAGGGTGGTCGAGGACTCGAGGGTGTAAACGTCAAGCAATGACAGCCTGTAGATGGCTTTTTGCAAGGTTGTGGTCCTTGCTAGTGGCCGAGGTGAGCTGAGGTGTGGTTGGGAAAAAGCTGGCTTCTGGTGCTTCATTGGCTGTTGAGCTGACGGCCAGATTCGGGCTATGTGGGCCTGGACGGGAAGAGGCCGAGCGACTTCATCATGATTGGCAAAAATACTGAAATTCTGGCTTGATATTAGACCAATCATGAGCTGAATGCCCAAGAGGTCCATCATGAGGAGAGACGGTTGGAGTCAAAACGCTCCTAAGAACTTCCCCTCGACTCCTGAAGGACGCAGCAGAAGCTCGCTGAGCAATAATGGCCGTGTTAATGGCGCAACGACTTTGGCGCCAGTTTAGGGGACAGGCGGATGAGCAAGGTCATGGTCATCAGGAGACGTTACATACCAAGATTACCAGATTGGGAAACGGCCTGCCCCGTTCGTGAGTGCCCGGTTGCAGAAACAACCGTTCTCGAACCTCTCCAAAAGCGGATTGAGATCTGTCACAATCAATCTGCCGTCCAATCGAGTTGCCAAAATGCCGAAACAGTTGCTGTTGACTCAAACAAGGGGGTATCGCCCAGAGACATGTCCAGAAAACAAGCGAAAATCCTGGATACCATGTCGTTGTAAACGAAATATTGAACCATGACATATTGGTATTGTGGCAAAACGGATTCGTTTGCAGACAGATCCGAACCCGTGGTTCTCTGCCAAATTCCACACTCCCAGAGAGGCGGAAGCTGGCTGTTCTGCGACCCGGTGTCGGCATCGCAGGGAGTGACAGTGTGGGCTTGCAATGACACCCTAGACGGATGTGAATGCTCGCTTGGGAGTCTGAGAGCAAGCAGTGAGAGAGAGCGGCGGCTGTCCGGTCATAGACGCGGCAGAGGGCAACAAAACGGGCCATCGTGGAGTCGAACAAGCGGACGCAGTGGAGTCCCTCTCGAAGCAAAGTCGGCAGAAGTCGGCTCCTATGCCGTCGCGGCAAGCTGTAGGTACGGATAGGTCTGCTGACTAGCTATTTTTGGCCCCCGCGGCCTTCGCTTGTCGTCGATGCAGGCGGCTCCGCCGTTGTTTGCCGCACCTCGGGTGGCTGGCTTGACACCAGCCAGTGCCCGTTGGCTGCCAGAGCTTGTGACCACTACTGTCGTCACTTGACTCGAGTCACATGGAATTTCCCATCGGTGAATGTAAGGCTTGTCTTTTTCAAGGCTCTTGCAAGCCAAACAGGACACATCAGCATCCCGTCTTCCAAGAGAAAGGGGTTTCGGACCCGGAATTTTCATCCAAGGTAGCACCAAGCTAAGCTTCACAGGCTGTGTCGTTTCTGGTGTCGCCACACTCAACGGCAGATCCCTACCCCAGTGGCTGGGCCCGCGACCCGCAAATCTTGCTTTGCCGCACGGTTGTGCGGGAGGAGATCCTATGGCTTTGGCGGAGCACGGGAAAATAAGTTGAACATTAAGAGACTGTATGAACCTCCTGCAGAGAGGCATCTTTGGCCTGCTATTCGTTTCCATTGCAAATTGTTGTGCATATTATTGCCCTTATTCAGGGTGATCCCTCATGTGTCATTTATCGTCGGACGCCAGTAGGACGACATTCGCTTGAGTGGAAATCTTGCAAAGATCCATGGATATGTCTAGTGATTCAGGCTGGATCGAAAATGGTATGGCAAGCTTGAGCCTTGAGCCCAGTACCTTACACAGTAGGTGAGCGGGACGGTTCGTTTTGGACAGGTTTCCTGCGCAAGGCATGCCTGGTCTTGAAGCCAACGGGGATTGTACCAATACTCGCCACCAGCTATGGTGCCCGTGCCCAAGTGGAGGATGGGTATCGACAGCCGCCGTATTCTGCTCAAGTACCATCGACAGCTGATGTACCGGTGAGCAAGACATGAAGACGTATTCGTACACGTCGACGCGAAATCAATTCGATTGCGTAGCTGTCTCGTGGGTTGAGGTGAAAATTTGACAACCCTGGAAATCGACGATCGTCCTCCATGGGATTTCCCCAGATCTCGAGGTTCCGAAAGAGCGTGTATCCAAAAAAAGAACAGGGACTGCCGGTCTGGGGAGAAACGGTGCGGCGAGTGCTCCCCCACTTTGGGAGATCCGCGTGTGGCGCAGGCACCGGGAGGCTGGTGAAGCAGGGTGGAGGGAGAGGTTGAGTTGACGAAGCCGTTGGAAATGCCACTGCAACGTGAGGAATGCGAGGTCCCCGGCAAAGCCGGCAGAAGGAGCGTGTGAGTTACTGGAAGGCAGTCTGTTAGTAGACGCAGAACTCAGGGGACCTATTACACAGTACCTGAATGAGAGACCGAATACGGGGGCCCCGTGGTTGAGTACGTTGCACCCCTTGAGCAGCTGAAATGTGCTGCTACCTATGCAGAAGACCCGCTGATCGCTTCAAGCCGATTGCTTGTCAGTGGGCGGCGAGCATCGGTGGTGCATGAAAAATGCCACACGGGAGGGGCTGAGGGGCTGTGCTGCCCGCGGGAGGGCAAAGAAAACGGCGACGTTGACTCGCTCATGACCGAGATTTTAGCATTGATCTGACCCTCCACCTCCACAAAGGGCACAGGACACCAGCAGTCCAGTCCGTAGTCAACAGCCACGCGGCTCCGAAATGGACCAGTGTGCCCGTGTGGGCGACAGGACAATCCATTCCGTTTGTGGCCAACATGATGCCATTATGGTTGTTTCCTCCCATCCGTCGATGATGGAACAATGTTTCACCACAAAGCCCACTCAGTCGAGCCCGTTGCAGAAACGAACCAGCGTCTGGGGTGCCAGGATAGGATAGGATAGGGATTAGGCTTGGTATTGGAATCTTGTCGTGGATGCGTGTCGTAGTAACTACGACGTCCCGGCCAGTCGTGATAGCCCCGTGTTTCGAACAGAGAAGCTCGAGTAAGTTTGACGGGGCAGATGCGTGTGCAGTTTGCACGGCAAGCTATGGTGAGGCCCGGTTAAGTTTGTTGAGCTTTGCGAGGCAGCTGTCTCCTTGTCAGATATGTGACGACAGCTATTGACATGTCGCGTCCTTGCGTCCATGACTCGATCTTGGCGGCAAATGGATAAGTTGTATTCTAGATGGTTCAAGTTCGCGGCAGATAATCCGGGGATTGGTGTGGTTGCAAGCGTGGTGGGCGGCAGACGTCGAGCGGGTGCAAGAAACCGGCGACACATAACACAAGCATGAGCCTGTCGTTGAGAGAAATTTTGCCTACTTGACGATTCAAGCATGAACCAGACCTGAGTCGTTCGTCTGCCGGGCTATGATGGAGGCGGACGGGCGTATGAAGACTGCTTCAGCTTCTGTATGCCAAGTGGCCTTTAAGGAATGAAGTGAACAATGAGTTCGTTTGGTGCCAGGTTTGATGTTTGATGTTGCCATGGCTGATGCCGACTTCCGCAAAGACTGTTCCTCTCCTTTGGCCAATGCGAGACGCATCGCATTGAGACTTTGGAGGGCGCAAACCATGTTTGAAGCTTGTTTATTCGTAGGACGATGGAGAAGACTTTGCAGGAGAACGGAGGAGACCTGGAGAAAAGCCAAGGGAAGGTTGAGGTATGGTCTCCAAATTCTCCATGGAAGAGGGATACGCAGTACGTAGTAGGATACCTTGAAAGAAGGAAGTGGCCGTCAATGGCATGGAACAAAAGTAACAAAAGTGCACTCCGTGCCCAGGGGAGCTTGGGCCATGTATTTTCCGTAAAAGGAAAGTTGGGCTGAGCTTAAGTGCCTTCCCGTTTCTCCAAGCATACCTTAGCAACTTAGGTACCTAGGCCCCGTGAGCCTCCCCGCCTGAGGTAATCTCGTCAGGCGGCTTCAGTGAGTCGCGGGGTGGTCTCGGCCGAATTTACAGTGGAGCGTTCAGCATACGCGAACGCTAAAGCGCGAAGCGAGAATGGTTTCATTGGCTCCCCCACCGCCGGGCTTCAGCCTATTCTCCAGACGACGAGGCGAGGCTTGACATTGACAGCACACCTCCCAAAACTTGTCCCCGTGGCACTCCCTAAATGCGGCTTTCGCCGACGTCATTACAACTTCCATTCGCGACACAGCGTTCTTCCGCTCCGATACACAAGAGATCCTACCGTCTAGACCTGTAGAGCATGCATACCGCCCATCATAGACACAGATGATATACCTTTGACCGACCGACCGAACCAACGACTCCCTAGTCGTCCCGTCGACGTTGACGACCATCATCGATCCTTATACACACGATGGCTGAGCCCGCGGCGTCTGTCGCTTTGGCTGCTGCTGCTGCAACAACGGCGCAAAAGCAAACAAGCCCAGCGATCCCCGTCGGCCTAAATGAGGCATCTCTCGACTCTCCTACCTTTCGATCCACTGCGCAGCACTTTGGAGAGCACATCGACAATGTCGAGAAATGGCTTGACGACTACGTTAGGTCGACGTCTCGCGTCACCCGTGACATCCTAGCCCTCGAAGAAAGCGTCAACACCTACCTGTCCAAAATTTTCCCACCTGCCGCGACCGCCGATGCCATCGTCGACCACGACTACACTCTTCTCGCCCTGCGCCGGATAAGCGATGGCTCAAAGGAATGGTGGACTCAGATAATGTCAACAGTGCGGAAAATGGACACCATATCTGTTGACCCCATCCGATCTTTCGTCGCCGCCGACCTACGCTCTTTCAAAGAAGTCAGGAGAGTCTTGGACCACACCCAGAGGAACTTTGATCAAGCCATGGCTCGGTACATGAGCCAGTCAAAGACAAAGGAGCCGTCTGCTATCAGAGAGGAAGCATTCGCCGTGTACGAGACCCGCAAGGCATATCTCAAGGTCTCCATGGACTTCTGCCAGCTTGCGCCTCAGATCCGTTTTAGCCTGGATAAGTTGCTTGTGCGTGTCAGCTCCGACTTTTGGAAGGAAATGAAGCGGTCGCGCGACGCCGCCGCCGTATCGACAAAGTGGGGTTCCGAGATGGATCGCATCCGTGGCTGGTCTCGTGAGATGGAAACCACAGAGTTTGTGTTCAAGAGGGAGCTACAGATTGCGCGCCGTGATATCGGCGAAAGTACCCTGCAAGCCTTCAAGCCATCCCGGGAGCTGGAGGATTACAGTGCGTCAACGGTTCAATACCTGGGGTCCAGAGGTCCGGTTAGCGTCCAGCCGCAAGAAAGCTCCGCCGTTGTCTCGGAGAAGCAGGGCTGGCTTTTCCTCAAGACCCTTTACGGCAAGCCAGCCAGGTCAAATTGGGTCCGTCGTTGGTATTATTGCCGAGAGGGTATTTTTGGCTGGCTTATCAATGGGCCCCAAGGTGTTCTCCAAGGCGACGAGATTGGTGTCCTTTTGTGCAATGCCAAACCTGCCGTTGCCGAGGATCGCAGATTCTGTTTCGAAGTCAAGACAAAGAGCCAGACCTTAGTTCTCCAGGCAGAGACTCAAAACCAGCTAACTGAGTGGCTGGAGGTCTTTGAGGTGGCCAAGAAGAGAGCGTTTGAGGCCAGCATGGACAGAGACAGCGCCTCCTCACCCGCCGGTGCCGATCCCGCCTTCTCTATCACGCCGCCACCGCTTCCCGAGTTCTCAGCAAGGTCCATGGACGCCATCGTGGCTGGCGAGGAGCCTTCCGGTAGCTTCGACCGGGCTGGCACTCTTCCGGTTCCTGGCTCGGACGGCACCATGGCCGGTCGTGCCAGCTTCGATGTAAACGCTGGTGCACCGCGTCGGTCCATTACTGCTCTCGGGCGTGACCTGGGCCGAGAGATGGTGCGTGAGGAGGGAGAAAGCAATCGCGATCATGCAGCGAGGATCATCCAGAAGCTAGATCTTCACCGAAAAGCGACCTTTGGCGCGGGTGCCGAAGCTGCGGGTGCTGCTGGCGGAGCGCCCGGCGCTGGTGGCATCGCGGGCTTGATAGCAAGCCACGGCCATCTTCCTGGATACCCTTCTCCCCCACAAGCTGGATCGAAGAACTCTTCTACTTCAAGATTACCTGCCCTAGATCCAGTTCAAGGAACCTTGGCTCCTTTGACGCTGGCAAGACCACCCGCAGCAACAAACCTCAGCCGAACAGCCGTGATGCTTTCAGTCGACAGAAGTATAGGGTCGGACACTACCAGCCACATGCCTACTTCTGTTCTCGCCAACTACTGGGGAAGTAGCCCTTGGAGCACTGTCTACGGGTCAGGTCCAGGCCGTCCTAGGACCCCTGGCCTGCTGGAAGAAAATCCCTTCGGAATAGTAGTCCGAGAGGTGGGCAAGCCCGGCGAAGAGAAGCCTCCAACCCCTACTACCACCGGGCACAGGAAGACTGTCAGTGTCGACGCAAAACCCAGCCAAGCCCATACGCCATTTAGGCAGCCCGTGGAAACCTTTGTCCCAGGATACCCTCCAGAGCTAAGAATCCAGCATCTACAATTCCGAATTCTGTTCCCGAATGCTCCTCTGGACGAGAAGCTTGTCCTTGTCTTCCGTGCCGCTTGGTCAAGCTCGACAGGCAAGGACTCGCCTTCTCACGGTCAAGGGCTGGCGGGCAACGGCCGTATCTATATCACTCCGGACAACATGTACTTTTATGGACAACAAATGGGTCTTGTAGTTGCATATGCCATCAGCCTCGACATAATAGCCGAGGTCACAGCTGCGCCCGGTAAGGAATGCGACTTCATTTTCCTTCACCTCGGTGAGGATGGCAATGAGACGGGCTACACTAGAATCACCATCAAGATCTTCCTGGACAACCTTCAGCTCCTTCATGCCAGAATGAACCTTCTCATTGACGACCTACAATCTGAGGAGCCCATGGAGTTGCCAGAACTCATCCGGGCACTGATCAATCTGGAGTACGAGGACTACAGCAAGCGCAGCCCCAGCATTGAAAGCTGGGAAGAGGTCTCGTCAAATACGCCGTTCGATGACGGCACGCACTCCGGGCGCCCGGCTAGGCGCCAGAGCCAGTTTGGACCTAGACTCCGCTTGGCAGGGCCTGGTTCGAGGCAAACTCCCAAAGTGCAGGTGCCCGCTCATCCTGTTGTTTTCGAACCCGAAGACATGCAGAGAATGGTTGCAGAGCGGCACTTTGAAATTAGCGCCAAGGCCTGTTTCCATGTGCTCTTTGGCGACAAGAGCTTTGTCTTTCCCAAGCTCTACTTTGAGCGGAGAGCTCAACAGATTGCCCAAGGGCCCTGGGCGCTGGCAGATCATGGCCGGATGAGGCGTGAGTTCCAGTTCAAGTTCGACTACAAAGACATGATCGGTCGACCCAAGACCGTGGACGTTGTCGACTACCAGACGATGGATGTCTTCCAAGAACACGTAACGTATGTTGTGACACACACCAAGACGGCATGGCATCTTCCCCATTCTCAAGACTTCAAATTGGTGACCAAGGTTGTCATCACCCACGTGGCCAAGTCAAAGTGTAAGTTGGCCATCTATACAAAGGTGGAATGGTCCAAGATACCTACGTTTTCGAAGAATTTGGTTGAGCGGCAGGCCCTAAACGACGCCGAGGGCGATGCGGAAGAGCTTGCAGACGTCGCAACGGACCAGGTGCGCAAGCTTGGCCCACACAGCCGGACAAAGAGAGCAATCCAAGTGTACGGAAACATTGGGCAACAGACGCAGGTCGTTGTATTTTCCCCGGCCGACGCGGCCGCGTCAAAAAAGCAGCTCATCAAGCCGCGGACACTGACAGCCATGCTCCTAGAAACGCTGCGTTCCTTTGGCGAGAGTGCGGTGACGTCGCTCATCATGTGGGCCATCGCCGTGGTGAAGACGTTCTTCAGCGTGGTCACGGCTCACCGACTTATCCTTCTTGTCCTGGCAGTCAGCGCATTCACGAACATTGCCTTGACCTCCAAGGAAAGCTCGACGTGGTGGACGGAGAGGCGAGCAGCCAAGTTCATGACCCGGGTTGGTGTCGGCCCGAACGTGATGATGAGCAAGGCCATCTACATGGCGGATTTAGGCGAGGCAACGGGCGCAGTCGGCCACAACAATAGTTGGCCTACCGATAGTGCTTGGTAAGTAAACCTTGACTGGCAGTCTGTGGTCTAGAGATACGATGGCTAACATGATATCACAGCTTCACCACGTTCCAACTTGTTGCCAACGCCACCGACCTGGACAGCCCCTACGAAGACGCCGGGTCGACACTATCATCAGCGACGAGCCGAGCGACCGCGCGCCGGCTGCGCCGGACCCGACAGCGTCTGGGATCGTACCGGCACGATCTCCTCGTCGCGATGCGCATCGTCAACAGCATCGAGCGGGAGATGGTGCAGTCAGAGTGGGAGAACTGGCTCTCTGATGAGACGATGCGTTGCGAGAAGCTCAAGACCGTGTTGGAGGAGGATGGCGGTTCTGCTAAGAGTAAGCGCGGCGGCAGTGGCAGTGGCCAGAAGGTCTTGACGTCAAATATTGACGAGGGCAAGAAGGAGGCCTTGCGGGAGTGGCACGATACATATTGCGGGAGCTGTAAGTTGGACCACCAAGCGTTGATGAGCGAGCGAAGCTCTTTGGCGGGATTGTAGAGGAGTTGCTGGGTCCCCTTTGTGTTGCATTGCGTAATATAACATCGCCGTGGTTTTGCAGAGCGTATGAAGGCTTGTAGAGCCTTACAGTCTATTGTTCTTTGTTTTACTCCGAAACGGAGGATAATTTTTGAATACGTTAGATGGTGATAATGTGTTTCGACTTATCTCCACTTGATGCCTTAACGACTTCACCATGGTTTAGGGGCTAACGAGATGAACATGCGCTTCGCTTATGACGACTGATACCTTTTTACTGAAGACGCATTCAAGTGTAGGATAGAGGGCAAAGAGGCGAGTGATTCAACTCAATTGCAAGACCATTGATTAAGGCAGACAGAGATGAGTGATATCTTAAGGTATCTTGATGTGTCGAGACAGATTTGGAAAGCCGAGCACAAACAACAATGCTAAACCTGGTCAAGCTGTGATGTCGCCTATAATGGCGGTTCCAGTCTCATTAGTTACAATCCGATGGAGTTGCTAGTTCATTGCCAGAGCATTGGCATTGATGATCTAAAGACATGACCTGATTTCCCTCGAGGGCTTTATCGTGATACAAGGCTGCAATCGTAGATCGATGTTAACCGGGAAGCTCGGTCAGCTATTTGGCGGGCTAGTATTAGTGATTGATAAAGAGAGAGTCGGCCGATGGGAAAGCCGGGTCCGGACTTTTGAGGTCATGTCTCGGGAATCTCGGCGTGGTGTTTTCCTGGGTGTGGTTGTGTAGGTACAACTACCTGAGTATGATGATTCTTGGACATTTAGGCTGTACGCCCTACCTTAGCACCTTGGGGTTAGGTAGATCATGACGATGCAAACTTATGTGGTTGACGTCGATACAGACCAGAGGAAACAGGGCTTGGTATCACATCTTACCCCAATCACTTTTTTTTTTCTCTCCGGCAAAGTGTTCCGGCGAGGGAGAAGACCCTCACGTGTCCAATCGCCATCAGAATCCCTGTAAACCGTTGGAAAGTCATCCTGGCCGCGTTGCCTTACGGTTAGGGCGACGGGAGAAAGCAAGGAAAACCTGACGTGCCACATTCCCTCGACGAAGCCCGCATTCAACAGTGTGGCTTGTGGCAGGCGGCCTTGGACGACGTAGGCCGGTGGTCAGAGGTTCCAGAACGAGGTCTCTGATCCGCGGCTCTCCTCCCTCCAACCCCGCCTTCCCCTCGATATCTGTCCCTAATCTAAGAATAAAAAAAGACAATGGAAAAAAGACTAGAGCAAGAATAGGGGGAAAGGAGCCGCATTTCCCCCTCGTTGCAGTGGGTGAATTGTCGCTCCTTCGTCACGGTTTTGCGAGGGTCGAATGAGAGGAATCCGAGGGCGCGGAGGTCGAGCCCAGAATACGCGGATTCTAGACGATCTCTAGCGCGATGGGATCCACTTGATCCTCTTTCTGGGAGACTGACCACCAATTGTGACGTCGAGATGGACGGGGGGCAACGGGGGCCTCCCCTCCCCACCTTCTCATTGAGGTCCTGAGGGGACCGCACCTTCTCGTACTGGGTACTGTTCGTATGTGTACATGGACAGGGGGTGACGTCAGCGCCAGGGCCGAGCCAATGCGAGAAGCGTGGTGAAGGGAAAGCAATCACAGCAGGAGCAAGGAGCAAGAATTGGCTGGGCCTTTCCATTTAGGTGCCTTTACCGTGCTTACCTTGTGTTACTTCGTCATTGGGGCAGAATCCGAGGCAAGATCAGATACGTATCCGTAGATGCCTCTTCCCAAGGAGACGGAAGGAGTGTTGCACCGGACGTCAAGGACAAGGGCGCATTGAACATGATGGAACATGGTCAACCGTAACGCACCTGACAAAATAGTACACTGTAGGTAGAGAGAGGACGGGAGCATTAGGTCCGCTCGGGTCGGCCAGAGATGTCAAAGCCCCTCCAAGACTCCAAACCAACTGAGTCCTGGCACCCCGGCAAGGCCCATGATCGGTGATCCCATTCCCGTTGACGCTATCCATACTCCATGCTCCGTACTTCGTGCATCCACCTTGATTCCAGCAATTACCAAGTACTGTGGCTTACGCAGCACCTGATTCTCTTCCATACCTGCCTTCCTCCTCCTTGACTCTTTACTCTTAAGCCACACGTGGGGCACTCTTTGCAGGTTATCCAAAGCTTTATTTCGTCTCCATTTCTGCGCAGTAATCGACCACAAACCACCACTCTCATCCACAAACCACCAAACAGCATCTACCTTGCTTCCCCACGAACACTCCCCTTTTCCAACGCCTCGGTCGCGTCCGGACCCCAACACTAACTATACCATACACTATACGAACCTCGCTACCTTTTGACATTTGAAATTCCCCGTCCGTATTTTCCCTTCACCGATACCACCAGCCAGTCTCTACACTACTCGCGCTTTCGTCGGACGACCTGGGCTATGACATCTTCTTAAACACGACACATTTCCGTTTCGCCCTCGACGCCAACTGCCACCCTCAGACACAATGGCACCTCATCACGAGCCCTTCAAAGGCCTCGCGCCTATCAAGTGGGAATCTGTCGCCGAGGAGGATCCAAAAGAGTTCATGACCGGCGTATTTGCCAACGCTCAAACAGTCATTGACTCTATTCCCGTCCCCGCCGCCGTCAAGCAGGCTACTGCTTCCCACGGCCGCTCCCGATCCCACACCGATCCTCCGATACCTGTCGCCGACATCAACCGTTCACTCTCCCAGCGCCAGACCGGTGCTGCGCTGAAGCTGTCGCAGGACTTGTCCAAAGAGTGGAAAGAGGTCAAGGTCAATGCCAAGGACAACCCGCTAGCAATCAACGTATATAAACTCGCCGCCAAGGATGGCAAGGGAAGCTGGTTCGCTCGGCGCAGCGTTCACGATGGTTTGACTTTTGAGAAGTGGAAGCTGGGCCTCGAGAGAGAATTCGCCGAGTCAATGAAGGTGCAGAGCGGGCCCGGCGCCGGCGCCATCCGCGGCATTGGAGCAGAGAAGCGGGCGGCACATGAGGTTGTGGAAGGCTCTGGGAAAATGGAAGGTGAGCATGCAACACACCACTTGAGACTTCAGCGCCAAATACTGACAACATCTGCCCAGTATTCCAACTATCGGCGCAATTCCCAGGCCCGACGGCTCCGAGAGACTTTGTGACGTTACTGCTGAGTTCCGACTTTTCCGGCGGCGCCCCGCAAGAAGGTGCTAGGCGGCCGCTGCGGACCTATATGATTGTGTCAAAACCATGCATTCATCCCGAGTGCCCCGAGAGGCCAGGCTATATTCGAGGTCAATACGAGTCGGTCGAAATCATTCGCGAGATCCCGTCCGATAAGCCGGCTGCGATTACGCGAGCACGATCCTCGATTGATCTCAGTCAGGAAGGCGCTAAAGAAAGACAGGCTGTGGCCGAGTCTATGGGCAAAGAGGCTGTTCTACGGGCAGCGAAGAAGGCAGCAGATCCAGACGGCCGTCATCGAGGTGCATCCGTCGACAGTGCACCTGCTAGAGACGACGCTGGGCACACCGGCGAAGGTATCGAGGAGGAAGCGACGACGTCAGTTGAGTGGCTCATGGTGACTCGTAGTGATCCCGGCGGCAATGTGCCCCGATTCTTGATTGATCGAGGTACACCGGCAGGCATCATTGGAGACGCTGGCAAGTTCCTCAAGTGGATGACTGCGAAGTCCGCAGATGACTTTACAACTTCAGATAAGGAACAGGAGGAGACGAAAGAAGGCGCTAAGCAGGCCGAGAGCGAAAAGGTCGCCTCTCCCATGGAGGTGGCCAAGCAACCGACATCGAACTTGTTGCCTGAAGAGTCGGCACAGGTGCAGGATAATTCCGTCCCGAGTAGCAACGGCCTGTACGGCATCATATCCGGTGCTTTCGGAATGGCCAGCTCCGTCGTGGCAAGTCGCCTACCAGACGGCTACGCTTTACCCGGAATATTCACAGCACCGAGCACCAACGGCTCGATAGCGGAGGAAGAAGAGGATGAGTCGATCGTAAGCGACACATCGTCCATCCGAAGCTTCGCTTCAGCGGTCGAGAAGACGGACGAGGGCGAGCCCGTCACGCCACCAGAGGTCACACAGCCCGACAGCATGTCGCTTCACTCGTCCGGATCCGGCGGCGGCGCGTCCCTCCAAGGGTCCAAGACATCGTCGCACCACGAGAGGGAGCTCAAGAAACTCCAGGAGCGGCGCCAAAAGATGCAAGACAAGATCAACAAGATGCAGGAGCGCATGTCTAGCAAGCGTGACCAAGACTCGCAGAAGGAGGCTGCCAACCTAACGAAGCTCCGCGAGAAGCACGAAAAGGAGATGGCCAAGCAGGAAGACAAGTACAAGCGCGACATGCAGCGCCTCGAGCAGCGCCGCGAGCAGGAGCAGCGCAAGGCCGAGGAGAAGCGGCGGAAGCAGGCAGAGAAAGAGGAGAAGGGAAACTTGGCCCTGGAGCTCGAGCGCGTCAAGGCCGAGCGGGATGTGGCGCTCAAGGAGATTGACGTCCTCAAGGAGCAGGTGGGTCAGTTGCAGAGCCAGAACACTATGCTGGTTGTTAAGATGGGCAAGATGGGTGGAATGGGCGGTATGAAGA